CGTTACATAAAAGAGTACATTCTGTTTTTTTTTTAGTTTTATTCATTTCAAACGGGCCGGATCCAGCCCGCGGGCCGTAGTTTGCCCACGGCTGAAATAGACACTTCTCCAAAGTGGACAAATGGCCAAGAGACAAATGAAAAAATGCTCAAAGTCACTGATCATCCGAGAGATGCAAATAAAATGAGAATGAGGTACCATCTCACACCTGTCAGAATGGCTACCATCAAATCAACCAACGACAAGTGCTGGGGAGGATGTGGAGAAAAAGGAACCCTCGTGCACTGCTGGTGGGAAGGCAGACTGGTGCAGCCACTGTGGAAAATAGTGTGGACTTTCTTCAAATTATTAAAAACGGAACTCCCATCTGACCCAGTCATCCCACTTCTAGGAATATAGCCTAAGAAACCTAAAACTCATCAGAAAGAATAGAAGCAACCCTATGTTCACAGCAGTGCAATTTACAACAGCTAAGACTTGGAAACAGCCTAAGTGCCCATCAGCAGATGAGTGGATAAAAAAACTATGGTGCATTCACACAGTGGAATACTATGCGGCAATAAAAAAAGAACTCTTACCATTTGCAACGGCAATAATTGACCTGGAGAGTAATATGCTGAGCGAAATAAGCCAGAGAAAGATAATATCACATGATCTCACTCATATGTAGAATCTAATGAACCAAATAAACTGATGATCAAATATAGACCCAGATTTATAGAAACATGAATAGATTACTGAACCTCAGTGGGAAAGCAAGGGAGGGTGGGAAGAGACCAACCAATGAACTTGTTTACATATATGCATAACCCGTGGACATAGACAATGGCGTGGTGAGGGCCCGGGGGTGGGGAAGAGGAAGGGAGCAGGAGGAAGAGATTAATGGGGGGGAAAGGAGGACCTATGTAATACTTTCCACAATAAAGCTTAAAAAAAAAGGTTGCTCATTCATAATTAAAGTAACAATACCAGTCTACACTTAGCCAGCTGGCTAAATAAATAAATAAATAAATAGGCTGTAACGTTTACTACAAATGGGAAAACAGTCTCAGTGGATGCAGGAAGAAACAAGCAATCACAGCTACCAACACACAAGAGATACAAGAGACTGATGGTTACACTGGGAAAAGTTGTAAAGAAAATAAATGCTTGTCAGTAGGTGGTGGGTTTAATTAATCAAAGCTCATCAACAACACGGAGCATCACGGCCGCTGAAGAGAAGGAGACAGAGCCACCTCCATTGGTCTAGAGCAGCCGTGGGCAAACTATGGCCCACAGGCCGGATCCAGCCCGTTTGAAATGTATAAAACTAAAAAAAAAAAAAGGACCATACCCTTTTCTGTAATGATGTTTACTTTGAATTTATATTAGTTCACACACACACTCCATCCATGCTTTTGTTCCGGCCCTCCGGTCCAGTTTAAGAACCCATTGTGGCCCTCGAGTCACAAAGTTTGCCCACCCCTGGTCTAAGACTAGGGACTTGGGAATAGAATGCCAAAGCGTGGCGCCCACCCACACTCCCAGACGCTCGCAGTGAGGCTGGGCTGCAGAGGGAGGAGCACCCAGCACCTGGGAGGCAGAATGGAGAAGGGCAAGAACGCTTCGGGTGTGAGGTGACAGCCTGAAGGCAGGTAGCGCCAAAACCATTACAGTGATGGTGAGAGGAATGGTGGAGAGCACTGAGCCGCAGGGAACACTTTAAATGGGACGTGGCTGGTCAGGCAGAGGGAAGGGCACCGCTGCCGGGAGCCGAGGGGGGCTCTCGTCCCAGGATCGGGAGAGGCTCTGTTCTTGTGGCAACAGCTGAATTCAAATTGTAAAAACAAGATACCAGATAAAAGAGAAGAGCAGAAAGGGCGCTTAGCTAATTTAAAAAAAATTAGCAGCTTGGCAGAAGTCTCAGTGCAAGGAAACCAAAAGAGAAGAAGTGAGAAGGGCGGATACAAGACGGGACCCTCTGCTGCGCTGAAGGCCCCAGAGCACGTTGCTACTGCTGCTGGTCTGGGGTCCACGCCAAGATCCCGGGTCTCAGGGGGCAGGTATGTGCCCAGAGGTGCAAACAGAGGAGTGCGGGAAGAAAATGCACGTGACAAATCCCTGAGACTGAAGGTCATCTTGCTCCAGGATGAAAGGGCTCATCAGTGTGGAATCAGACGCTAACACAGCACATTTTTGTTAAATTCCCAAATATCTCTCTATATAAAAGGCTAATATGCTAAGTGTCCCCTCAGGAGTTTGACCGGGTGTTCAATCGCTCGCTATGACGTGCGCTGACCACCAGGGGGGGTGGTGTGGAATGAAGGTAGGCCTCGGCCTGCAGCCAGAAGGAAGGCCCCAATCGGCCCGATCGCCAGCCAGGCCTAGGGACCCTATCGGTGCACGAATTTTGCACACCAGGCCTCTAGTCAGGAATAAAGAAAAGATCATAATATCTTTCAGAGGGAAGAGGCTCCCAGGAAGGAACAGCCTGACAGCACAGACAGGACCTGCAGAGGAGACTCCGTTTGAAGGGACCCCGATGGCTTCTGCGTGGGGCTGGCTGGAAGGAGATAGGTGGGTCTGCAAAGATGCAGACGGGGAAACGGGGGTGAAGTCAGGGCAGCAGAGCCTGAGAGTAGATCAGAGTACCGGTGATTTCAGCCTGGGACCCACGAGGCTGAACACAGCTGAATACCTTAACACAGCCTCTGGCTGTGAGGTCTGCAGCCTGGGAAGGGAGTTACATGCTGAGCCCCAGACGGCTTCACCTGTGCAATATCCCACAGGTAGCTTCCAGAACAGGAGCACACTTCGCAACTATTTTCATTGGATTGTTCACAAGTGCTTGAAAGACGCATGCGTACACAGAGGCCAGTGCTACCTGTTCCCTTGAGCAAAGGTGTGGAGTCCAACACGGTCTGTCCACTCGGGAAGCGAAATGTGCACGCCCAGCGACTGCGTGTGGGCTTGCTAGTGTTATCAACCAACGGTCTGCTGTGACTTAGAAACATGCCCGTTCCCACAGCCATGTGCAACCCTTTCCACACACTGGACGCTTCTCTCCCAAATGCTAGATGCCACCCGCTCTCCTTTCCAGAGAAGTCTTTCCCACCTGAATCCGGGACCGGGCTAGATACACGCTGGACTTCCACTCGGTCTTCATCCTCCGGTACTGCGACGACTTGGAATGAACGAACTGCTTGCTGTAAGGGGCGTTCAGCTCCCCGGTGACTGTGCTCTGGAAGGACTTGGAGGTGCTGGTGCTGTTCAAGGTGTGAGGCCTGCAGGCAGGGTGTAGCAACGGGAGAGAAGAAAAGGAGAACTGAAGACACCTCCAGTCCCACCAAAGCCCGGCCAGTTCCAGTGCGCACGGCAGGAGCATGCACAGAAGCCGCCTAGCAGAGCGCATGGTGCATTCTCTGATGTGGTTGGGCAACAGACACAGCCAGGGACACAGGGTTTGTAAGCAGCAGACAAATCAAGCACAAAACCACTAAGACGCCTAGAAACCCTGGGCTGTACTATGTGAAGTTAAAACAAAATACCTTAACACAAACCTCTTGACATGGGCACTCATTTTAGGCTCAGAACGGGCACAACCTGTGGGGTTAACGGCAAGAGGAAGTTCCATGAGAGGATTTCGGCCATATCGAAAGGTGTAGTTTTCACATGCTTCAACCCCAGGGAGCTGAAAGGAAGCAAAATAGACAAAAAGTTAACTCAATCGATTAAGACGACAGGCGGTCTTGAGCTGATGAAAGGATGGCCCAAGTTGTATGGCCTAGGGACCCTACCGGTGCACGAATTTTGCACACCAGGCCTCTAGTCAGGAATAAAGAAAAGATCATAAGAAATAACTTGTCAACATCTTCAAAATGTAACTTATGTTAACAAGATCAGCCTACACTCGGCTCTACTAAAGTATGAACAGACAAGTTCCGTTTCAAAGCAGACCTTAGCTGGCAAATGCTCCTTGAAGAAAACCAGCATGCTTGCCTGTGGGATTTTAGGGCCGAGGATGCCAGCATCCCAAACGCGGGAGCGTACTAATTCACAACATCAGTATCAACTTTCATGTCTTTGTTTGGAAATTTAAAATGACCAGTAAGTACAGTTTCAAATCATTTCCATGGTTTACTTTCATGATCACTTCTCACTTCCCCAAGTCGACTCTGACATGTTGAGGTTGTCACTCTGTGTCCCAGGAGAGCGGGTGGCAAAGCTCAAGGCTACTTGTAAAGTACTTTCTATGTTAAGGTCTTTTCTAGGACACCTTTGCAGTGAGCACCTTGCTCTGTGGGCACATTAGACACGGCATTTAGGCAGGGCTCCAGCACAGGAAGCAACGAGGCCTATTGCTCAGTAGCTTTTCCCAAGAAAGCTCATCAGTGAGCTTTTACTCTTGAAAATAATGCCTTATAGTCACGCAACTTTCCAACACTGCGAGGGACTCATTGGCAAACATGCAATATTAAAAGATGACAGAGAGATGTCAGAGAAGACATGCGTCCTGTAACCTGACAGTAGCCACAAACATCCCCGTCAGGGGTGGGCACAGCACCCTCATGAAGTGCAGGGGGCCTCAGAGAAGCGGGGAGGGAGCCCCCAACGGCATGAGTGACGGGAACACAGACGCCTCATTGGAGAGGCAAGGCCATCCACAGCACGTGGTCCAAGGGCCACACTGTGCGCACTGCGCATCGCCCGCCTCGTCAGCACTCACTGATTCCGCAATCCGAGCCACCGCAGACACAGTCAGGCCAAACAGATCCTCTCCTTTCAAATACGCTGGGAAAAGTTGGAGCATTTCAGACTGTTTTCTCACACAAGCCACGGGCTCCAAAATTTTATCCCAAACACCTGTACAGATGGACGAAAAAAAAAGTTTGCATGACAAATGAACTTTCAGCTAAATAGAAAGGCAAGCAGGATGCAGCATAAAACCCAGAGCAGAAAGATGAGCAAGCCTCCCAGACATCCCAGGCGCCAAGTGAGGCAGTGAGGAGCCGACAAGCCTCACGCAGTTCCCAGTACTTTCTACATCAAAAGTGACCATGACAACCGAGACTTAACCCTGGAGGTCAAAACTGTCTCGTTGCTAGCTCTGCATTGAATATCTGATGCTGCTGAGTAACACAGTATACGCAGGTGGATGCTGCCTTCTCAGTGACATTAAGAAGGGGGTCCCCAATCTAAATGTCCCCAACCTTTTATCAACAAATTTTCCTATTTATTTCATCAAATCTGTGTTTGAATATATATTCTGATTTAGAGTAAGTCTAGCAAGTGTTTCAAAAACTGTACAACGAAGAGCAAGGCAGAATCATAAAAAGAAGTTCAGATTTGCATTTGTAAATGAAAAATCCACTCTATAAAGTATGAAACAAACATGATAAAAAACAACAACATGGAAATACTGACCAAAAACATTCACAACCTAACAACAGCCGAGTACCTAGCGCTGCAGAGCATGCCAGCGGCGGCTCACCTTTGGGTGAGGTGTCACTTAGGACGAGATCTTCGTGGCCCTGCTCCACAATCCTGATGACAAACACGGGGCGCCCATCTTTCTCCTCGATGGAGCACAGGTAGCGGCAGCGCTTGTTGGCGTAGCGTGTGCTCCAGTACAGCCGACTGGCTTCGTAGCCAACAGGGAAGAGCGCTTTGGGGGAGTGGAACGCCTGCATCTGCTGCGGGAGCAGCTGGCCGATCGTGTGGAAGATGAGGCTCCCCACACGGAAGGTGTGGTCGCGTTCACCTCGCTGCACGATGCTGGCAATCTGTCGCACCTCATCCCGTTGCACATAAACCCTCCGGAACACCGCAAAGTAGCTTAATTCCTGCTCATGAATTCCCTTTGGTTTGTGCATGGGACAAAGCATAGTTTTATCCTTAAAGAACATGCACTGTGCTTTCATGGCGCAGGTGAAGTGATAGATGTTGGTGCACCGCAATCGGTGGCACCCACTGGTGGCACCCATTTTATGACAGAAGACACATTTCATGTGCAGGCCTCTCCTCAGGGCTAGTTCCACATTGATTAAGGCACCCGCCTGGGTCTCATAGACCTCCGTGGACCACAGAGCACAGTTCAAGTGGACCCACAGATCCAAGTCGAGGTTGAGCAGCCTTGCCGGCCCGTCCGTCAGGCCATCGCCTTCCTCGTGACAGAAGCAGCACTTGCGGTAGTCCCTGGGCACGGGGTCGGGCTTCAGGGAAGTGCCCAGCTTCTTCAGGAACTCGTCGATCTCGTTCTCACAAGGCGGCGGGAACGTGCCTTTGGGGATGACGATGTGAATGCTCCACTTCTTCCACTTCATTCCTCTCCACTTCTTACTCACTGGCCTGCAGTCTTCAAACCCACCAGGGGCAGTTCTCAGCCGAGGCTTTAACTTGACCGTGACCTTAAGCTCATCTGGCTTTGCCTCGACTTTGGCTGCTTCAAAAGCTGGAGGGAAATTGATGGGGGGAGAGGCTGGAGGAGAAGCGTCTTCCTGGAGCTGCGGGAGGCAGTGCACGTCCAGCGTGGAGATGTTGTTGCTGTACTGATGGAACACCCGGGAAGGCGTCTCTTTTATTGGTGACGGAGGCAACGAAGGAACGGAGTCCTGGCCAAAAAAAAGGGAGAGTAATCACAAGTTCTGAAAGCAGTTTTTGAGGAAACGAGAAGTCAAGCAATCGAGAGTGAGTGTGTGGCGGGGACAGTGTGTGGCGGGCAGGTGGGGGAGAGGTCTGCAGTGGTGAGGACTCAGGCCAGCAGCAGCCAGCTTCGGGCGTCTAAGGTGTCAGTCTGGAGAGCGAGGGCTGAGGACGGGAGCCGGCTACGGGTGGGCTCCTCGCCGGCCTTCTCTACGAAGCCGAAACTCCAAGCAGCTCTGCTCCTCACCCTTCTTTGACATTCCTCTTTCTGACCACAAGCAGCCCAGAAAAACTGGTGCTGTGAGAAGCTAGAGGATTTAATTTGTGCAATGGAACAGCCCTTTTGGTGAACCAAGAGCTTCGAGACAGTCTTTTATGAGCCTGTCCCCACTCTCTGAACCCCCTGTCTGTTTATCGTGGCTGAATTATTGGCATAAATGTGAAAGGAAGGGAGACGTCCCCTGGAATAAGCAAGTGACTGTTCTCTGAGGCTTCCAGGTTCGAATTCAGCGGCTGAAAGAGTCCAACAGTTTCCCTTTAGGTCTAATCTCCTAAGCCAATAATCCCCCACAGGTTCCCTCTTCTCAGGCACCCCATCCTGCAAGGTACCTGAAAGAAGACGCACCTCATGTAGAACCGAGAAGCAGGCTGGCACTGCATTGACTAAAGAAACTGGAGATAAGCCATTCCTTCTTTCAGGGGGCTAACAAACTAAGTTCAAGTCTGAACTTATTTATCATGTTGGCTCACTGCCTGTTAAAAAATAAGAGTCCCCAGGATCTTCTTTCAAGAAAGACACATGAGCCCTAGCCGGTTTGGCTCAGTGGATAGAGCGTCGGCCTGCAGACTCAAGGGTCCCAGGTTCAATTCCGGTCAAGAGCATGTACCTTGGTTGCGGGCACATACCCAGTAGGGAGTGTGCAGGAGGCAGCTGATCGATGTTTCTCTCTCATCGATGTTTCTAACTCTCTATCCCTCTCCCTTCCTCTCTGTAAATAATCAAAATATATTAAAAAAAAAAAAAAAGACACATGAGAGCAATAATCTGGAAGGAGGAATGACAGGCAGTGTTACTGCATGAGGGAAAACTGTCCTCCGTGCAAATGACTGAAAATACATTGTTCACCATACAGATGGCCAACAGGAAAAGATGCTCAATGTCAATAATCATCAGGGAACCCCAAATTGAAACCAGAATGAGATATCACCTCACACCTGTCAGAATGACTATCATCGAGAAATGAACAAACAAAAAACAGAAAGAAATGAACAAATGCCCCAGCCGGTTTGGCTCAGTGGATAGAGTGTCAGCCTGTGGACTGAAGGGTCCCAAGTTCGAGTCCGGTCAAGGGCTCATACCTCAGTTGGGTTGTAGGCTCCTCCCTGGCCCGGGCCTTGGTCAAAGGTTTGTGCAGGAGGCAACCAATCAATGTGTTTCTCTCACATCAATGTTTATTTCTGTCTTTCTCTCTTTCTTCCACTCTCTCTAAAAATCAATGGGAAAATATCCTCGGGTGAGGATTAAAAAGTAAAAATAAAAAAAAGAAAGCAATGAACAAACAATAAGTGCTGGCACGGAGGTAGAGAAAAGGGAACCCTCGTGCACTTGGTGAGAATGCAGACCGTGTAGTCACTGTGGGAGACAGTATGGAGCCCGGCCAGCAGTCCTCAGTGGCTGATCATCAACCTATGATGGTCAAGGTTCGATTCCCAGTCAGGGCACATGCCCAGGTTACAGCCTTGATCCCCAGTAGGGGGTGTGCACGAGGCAGCCAATCAGTGATTCTCTCTTATCATTGATGTTTCTCTCTCTTCCTTCTTCTCTGAAATCAGAAAAATATATATTTTTAAAAATATCTAAAATTTCCACATTTAAAAATTAATATTGAGGAAAATGCAAGTCACCTATATTTTAAAAAACACAGCAGTATGGAAGTTTCTAAAAAAATGAAAAATAGAACTACTATATGACTTAGCAATTCCATTCTGGGTGTTCAGCAGAAGAAATCCAAAACACTAATTTGAAAAGATACATGCACCCCCCCCACCCCGTTCATTGCAGCATTATTCACAATAGCCAAGATACAGAATCAACCTAAATGCCCATCAATAGACAAATGGATAAAGAAATGCGGTATATAATACTCAGCCATAAAAAGAATGAAATCGCGCCATTTGCAACAATATGGATGGACCGGGTATTATGCTAAGTGAAATAGGTCAGATAAAGACAAATGCTGTATGACTCACTTACATATGGAATCTTTAAAGAAACAAAATAAGTGAACAAAACAAAAACAGACCAAACTGATGGTCACCAGATGGGAGAGTTTGGGGTATGAGCAAAAAAGGTAAAAGGAATTTAAGTAATATAAATTGCCAGATATAAAAATAACTGTGGAAATGTAAAGTACACCATGGGGAATATAGTCAATAATACTGCAGTAATTATATGTGGTGCCAGATGGGTATATAACTTACTGGGGGAATCACTTCATAAGGTATATGAATCTATCTGTACAGTGTACACCTGAAAGTAACAGAATTCTGCATGTCAAATGTAATTAAAAATAAGTTTAAAAGTAAAAAATAACAATAAAAACAGATACAATGTTCTAGAAAAACAAATGTTTGCATCAACTACACACAGATACACTTAAATTACAAAAAATCAAATGAAGTAGACCATTTCCACCATGTTATAAGCAAAACAATTTCTTCCCAAAATACATGAGTAGACTTAAATTGTGTTTGTGAACAGGTTTTCCAATTGGGATAAGATCAATAAAAATAATATTTTATAGTTGTAATTAAGATATGTGTAACTAAGTAAGTAAAATTAAGCATTTTAATATTAGTGTTTTATTCTATTCTGAACTTTCAAGACATAATTCAAGCTTATCCACTCATCAAATAACTTATCGAATCTGAAATGGCAACATGGACACAGAGTTGTTGGAACTGCTCTCAACCTGAGCAGCACCGGCTTAGATTCCTCCACCGGAGCTCTGGGAACTGTCCACGCTCTGATGTGTCCCCAGGACACAGAAGTCACTCACTGCGCATTGATTAATTGAAACTACTGGTTTTACCTTGCTTTCTGAGATTTTTGCTTGTACAGTCGATGAGTAAAGAATGAAGCAGTTATTACTACAAAAGACAATGTCCTTCTCCACTCTACTGGAGCTCTCGCAGGAATCCTGAAAAGCAAAGAGAAGTGTGTGGGGGTCTCAACACGTCATAATTTAATAAAACAAGATCGATGTGCTGTTGGTTTTATCCTATGTTAAAGTGAAGCAGCTTCCTATCTTACAAGTAAAAGATGACTGCGTGTCTATTTAGCATAATAATTTAACGAGAGAAAATGAATTTATGAAAATAAACTTTACTATCTACATTCCATTCCCATTTAAATGTGTTTTCATAATATCCAACATTAAGCCTGTTGTAGCTGTTTGGTTTTAAGTCTGTCAAATATATGCCAAGGCTGCTCCCAGGAGTGTGTGTCCCATGGAGTCGCCACGGGGGACAACCAAACAAAGGGGCAGAGCCCTGCTCAGGACACGCCCGTGGAGAAGGAAAGTCCAAGTACCTTGCTTACAAAGGCCAGGTCTCTGAGAGACTTCCGCACCCCGCCTCCAAGAACCACCACTTTGCAGTGACAACACCACCGTGTTCTAAGTGCCTCGCTCTCCGAGATTCCATGACCAGCATCCTTGTATCCAGAAAGACCTGAAGGCAAGAGCTTCATCAGTGATGAAATAACCAATAACACAGAGTGGTAATAGTGTAAAATTGTGCTCCACCAACTTATTACAATGGCTCATTTAACTGACCTATATGATTCTTTATCTATAATAATAATAGAGGAATATGCAAATTGTCTGGGACCAACCAGCAGGCTGAGTGGGACAACCAGGCCAGCAGGGGGGTTAGCAAGGGATGACCAAATGACTGAACAGCAGGCTGCGTGGGGCGATCAGGCCAGCAGGAGGGGCAGTTGGGGGTGACCAGGCTGGCGAGGGGAGGGAGAGCAGTTAGGGGTGATCAGGCAGGCAGGCAGTTAGGAGCCAGCGGTCCCAGATTGTGCGAGGGATGTCCTACTGCTGGTTTAGGCCCGTTCCCGGAGATCAGGCCTAAACCGACCGTCAGACGTCCCCAGAGGGGTCCCGGATTGGAAAGGGTGCCGGCTGGGCTGAGGGGAACCTCCCTTGCCCCCATGCACGAATTGTGTGCACCGGGCCTCTAGCTAATTAAAAAAAAATCTTCCAAGCAATGCATACTGGGTATCTATTATGTGCACGGCACCAGGGTACAAATAAAGGATCGCAGTCATTCTCAAGCAGCTGGGAAGAGCATACTGGTCGTCAGAGCAGGAAGGACCCACAGCACATCACCCTCCAGTCTAAGTGCACAGTGAGTCAGGGGAGAGATGTCACTTTTGCTTGAGGATTAAGATGATACAAAAACGTTTGTGAGAGAGGAAGAGATACGTGTATGAGAGTCTTAAATACAAATGGACAAAGAGGGATGAGCAAAGTTCCAGGGCCAAGATAAAAATGACAGGACTCACGTAGGGCATGGCAGCAGGAAGCAAGAAGCGGGGAAAATGGGGCGCCAGGAACAGCTAGAGCTAAGAGTTTAAAACCCAACTCAGGCAACTCTGTCGGAGCTCAGAGATGAGGTCGAGGACGCTGCTGGGCCTAATGGCAGCATCAGGATAAAAACAGGCCAGGACCAACTGAAAAGGGGCGGAAGCAGAGTGAGGAGGAGACCAGGCCACAGGCAGAGGGGAGAGGTCTGGGGAAGGCCCCCTGCAGACGATGCAGGGGAAGCAAGGGGGAATGGTGATGGGAGGAAAGGAACAAGTAGAGCTGCCAGCCCTCTGGGCACAGGGGAAGCCAGCTGGGGTGGGACGGGAGGTCTGGGCGTGCAAAGAACAAAGCTGCTTCTGGGTAACTGCTCTAATGCTTCCTGGTTGACAGCACGTCATACACACCCCAGCACCACAGGCCAAATCACCCTGCAGAAGACAGAACATGCCCAGGGCCTAATTCACTGAGTTCCACACACCAACTAGCTACCTGTTATTGTTAAAAATTAAAGTGAAATTTTAAAGAGAATAAGCATAACTTCTGAATGCAGAATGAATCTAAAGTGAAAATGGAAACCAGCTCACCATTGCTTGTTGGTGGAAATGGTACATGGGGCGGCTTCAGCCGGTAAGAGCTTGCTAATCTGGGAGGGTTCGCAGATCCTGGTGGAGGTCCACGAAGAAATAAATGCTGTCGATACTCCAAACCTGGGTTTACTCTGTGGCTATTGATCAAACCCACGGATGGACCGTCTGGAGCATTACTAACCTCATAGCTGTTAGGAATTCGGACGTGAAGAAGGTTGGAAAACGCAGCCACAACGCTGCTGATGTTCTAAAACAAAAAGGTAAGTGAGCACAGGTCACCCACCCAGTGCCACCCTGGCGATGCTCCTACTTAGGAGACATGCTGTTTGCATGACACACACCCTGCAACAAACCCAGTAGCTGCTATTTCCACGCAGGGCCTCATGGGAAACCCCGCTTTAATGGACCAGATTCTAAGTTAAGTTTTCATCAGCAGAAGTGCTCCTGCAGGGACTCCCGATGGTAGAGAGCACGAAACACTTTAGGTAACTTAGGACTGGACAGTGTGGTGCCGGGACACACAGGGGAACGAGCCAGATGGCACCTGCTTCACAGCTGCTCAGACGTGTCGGGCGTGGACTCTGTCCAGCTCAGGACACCAGGCTGAAGCGTCCCGAGAACACAGGGTCTCGTGACCACCTGAATGTCATGCCCTGAGACTAGGTTGGGCAGCAATGAAATGTCCTCGGAGAATTAAGAGTTAACAACTCAGCAATTCACTCCTGTCTGATACACGCAGCTGCCACCTGAACAAGGTTTCTATCTTGCTTCCGTAAAATTGTACCGTTCATAGCTGTTTTCCACTGCCTAATTTTCTATGTGTAAACAGTTATCAAAAGGTTTCACTGTAAAGAGTTCTCTAAAGTACACATCCTTTAATTAAAAAATGAGAACTCTAACTTCCTTCTGCCCTTTTGAACCTGGACTTAGGCTCAGACCAATCTAATGCATGTTTGCAGTATTCCAAGCAGCCAGGTGTCTAAGTGACGACGCACCCTAACCCGACCTTCCTCCTTTATCCTCTGGGACCTGCGATACCAGTTCATGCAAAGCCGCCTGCTACAGCTTTAAATACGGGACACCTGCTGGGATGCTGAGAACGCACGTGAGCTTTACCTCAGCAGCTGCTGGATGCAGAGTGATGGCCACAGATATCAGACCCGACCTGGGGCCGTTCGGTGAAGAACCAAAAGGTGGTGAGAACAAGAAAGTGCCGGGCTCAGTTTTAATGTCATTCCGTCTAGATTCAGAACCTGAAAGCGAGGGGGGAGAGGGGGAGGAGGGCGCACGGAAGGGAGGGAGGGAGGGAGGGAGGGAGGGAAGACCGAATGTTAATGTTTTTCAAAACCAAAATGTGAGCTTTAGTAGATCAGCACACTGCCAGAAAAGGCCAAGCGAGGTCTCTCCTACCTTTCCCGGCGCTGCTGGGAAGAATCGGAATGATGGGGGACGGCACGGGCTCCGGGGGCTCCTCTTTGATCAAGGACAGATCAGGGTATCTGCTTACTTCCATCCCCACCACACTCTCCGGAGAGGATGAGGGGACAAAGCTGTCAGGACTGTCCCGGTCAGCACTGTGGTCCTGCATCCTACAAGAAAAATCAATGCGACACATCAACGAGGGCCCCTTCCTGGTGGGACCGTGAGGTTCTCTGGACATGGCAGTGGAGGACAAGTGTGGTCTCAGGCTAAAGAGTGTGGGACACCCCATGAACCCCACTCCTCCCACGGGAGATGCTGGCATGCTAAAGGAGACTCAAGCACAGCTTGCGGACTGGGTCCCTGGGGAAGCCAGCACAGGTGGACTGCTGCCCGGGGTCCCCACGCACACTAGAGGCCGCCGCCCCCCTGCTCTGAGTCACAGACTTCAATTTCTGGCAGAGGCTCAGGAGGAAAAGGAGACCTGGGTGCTCAATCTGAACCAGTTGCTTCCCTGCTTTGGTCCACAGCTGCCTCATTAATACAGTAAGACGCTTGGACTAAGCGATGTCTCACCCAGCAGAAGGAAGTTACCAAATCTTCCAGGGGAGACAGAGGACCTGATGAACCACCGAAGCACCTGATAGCCCCCAGTGAGATTCCTGGGACTAAGGAACTGACACAAAGAAGTCACAAAATGCACAGGAAAGTCCTGAAATAAGCATCTCTGATGCCTGTGACTTGTCTTCTACTTTAGACTCTGCGAGCATCAATAATCCAAATCAATCACATTCACAGCTTATAAAGGACAATGACCTTTTGAAATATTTTACATGGAAATTCCTTTTGTCTTAATGTCTATCTGATTATTATGAGATTTCAACAATTCGCAAACCAATTTTGTTTAATAGCAAGAATGCTTTATAAACTTCAAATTCTGAAGAAAATTATTCACCAAATTTTGCCACTTGAATATTTTTACAGGGTATTCCTACAGACATCATTATACATATATACATACGTTACACAAATAAGGAATAACTACAAAATACTGTGAAAAAAAAGAGCTACTACCTTAAGTCCTCCTGGTTGTTGTGAGGTGGTGTGGGCAGTGACGCTGGCACATCGACGGTCTTTGGGCCTTGAGCAATGGCTCTGGCCAGCAAGTCGTCCTGCGGTCGGAACGGCAGATGGAATGGTTTAGGTCCGAGGCTTTTGGTAACTGGAAAAGCAAACACAACCATGAATACATTTAGTCAGAACTGCTCAGTGGGAAGACCACCACGACCTTCCCCGTCCGCTGGCAAAGGCACACTCCTCAAGGGGTGCCAGCGAGGCCCCATCCTACCTTCGTGGCTCACTAACACTCCGGCTTTTCCAGCAAGCTCTTCAGTTGTCGCAAAGCCATTTGCCATCTTCTGACAGGCCACAGGAGGTGGTGTAGGAGGAAGAGAGGCAGGGGGTGTTGGAGGATTACTTAAATTATTCTGCTGCAGGAGACCAAAAAATTTTAAATTACATGCTACTGAGCAAATAAGCCATGACCTAGTAAAATATAGTTCTGTGAATTCTTAGCACATGGGAGCAAGGCTACAGAAATGTGATCAAGGTGCCTCTTCCTCCCTAACTTACACCAAGAAAAAAAATAAGTGCCCAAGCCACGAGGCTTTCTAGTGGGACAAACACTCACGACAGCGTGAGCATGCTCTCCTTCACGTACGTGGCCCAGCCTGAGCGCTCAGCTCTGACAGCAAGAAGCAAATTTACACCTGATCCAATCCCACACAACTCCTTTCAAGCTGTAGCCAGTGAAGGACAGTTTTAAAATTCAAGCAATAAATTGTAGAAAGTTCTCAAAAATTCCTTTATTAAATTCTCATTAAGATATGCCCCAGTTCTATAAAAAATTGAGAATTTGTGGCCCTAATTCTATCATTGCAACTCACATCCTAGATATTAGAATCTGGATTGTCCAAAATCTCTAAGCAAAAGCAGGAGCAATAATACTAAAATGACTGAGTCATTCACAAATGTAATTCCTCCTCCAAACATTTCTCCCTGCTTCACCTTTGTCACCAATTTGTCATTTACTTTTGATTGTGGGAATCTACCAATAACAACATGCAAATCAAGGGCAAGGTGAAATGCTAATCTGACAGAGACCCAGGGTTTCATGAAGACGCAGTTGTGCTGGAGAACAGCTTGCAGCGGACAGAAGGCATTTACGAGAGGCAGGCCAGCTCTAGCTGAAGAGAAAGCCAACACCAGCAGAAATGAGCATCACCGGGAACAGGCTGAACAGTAAAGTGAGAAGAGAAGTCCTCAGGAAAACAGGCGATACTCTCAAAATATTGTTGCAAAATGATTTGTTTTTGCAGAAGTTAGATGTAAAACGAAGAGTGTCTAATGAGGCTTTTATAAAACTTGGTGTAAAAGATAAACCTGATTAGGTTTGATATTTTAGTAGTCTAAGAATTAATGCATAATTGCAATTAGTACCTAATTAAATAAAATACATTTAAAAATATTTTTCATTTAATTTTTCAGGGTAAATTCCTAACTATAGTTTTAATCTTCATTATTTACTATTAACTTAGATTTGTTTTAAGAGTTAATAAAGGTTATAGGGAAATACATGATGGGACAAAAGTAGGTTTATAGTTGCTCATGTGGAAAATAATTCAATAATTAATAATACAAGAATAAATTATTTTGCATACTTACAACTGTAAACCTATTTCTGCCCCACCCTTTATTTTCTCCGCCATGGAAATACACAATGGATATTTTTCACAATTTTTAATCTTTCCTCTACAAAAATCTCAAAATGTTCACATCAGAAACACTTCACCAGATAATGTTAACCTTGTAGCTAAACTGAAGTTTAAATGAAACTTGGAAGATTAGATGTAAACTAGACGGAAAAAATGAGACAAGCTCTGCCAATGCTGCTACGTATCCAGCGAGGAAGCGAGGTGACACCTTGGCAAAGAAACATACCTTGTAGATCAACTGAGAATAGTAATCCGAAACCCCGTCAAGGGTAGCACTGCCAAAAGTTCCTAGAAGTCGATTCCCACTATTAAATTGGCCACTGCCATAAGGAAGAAAGTGCGCAAAGTTCACTCCAATGATTGGTTCCATTAGAGGGAGCAGAGAGAGCTGCTATTAAAAAACACATTTAAGAGTAATGTACACGGCAAACAAAACAGGGCGATTCTCAACTTTTCTAAGACCCGAGGCAACTTAGTCAAACAGGCTTGAGAAAAATAAGACTTAAAAATTTCAAGTAGCAAAATGCTGGAATAAATGAGAGACTGCTGAATCTTTAAGATCTACTTAAAAATAGGCTCCACTCTTGTCTGTTTTAAGGAGATGCTACCAGGCATCTAACAAGGAAACCACGTCCTTATCTTTGCTCAGCAAAAGCCATGGCATGAACCAGGCCCAGTGCCCAGTAGCACCTCTCAGAGGCCACGCCCCACCTTGGTGACAATTACCAGGTCCGAGCAGCGCTGCCTGGGGTAGACCAGCAGCTGCACGTCTGTGTGTTTAGACTCACAGGTACTGTGGACAGAGCTCCTCTGCTGCTGAGCTGTGCCCTGACCATCACCTGCCAATGCATTTGTGCTGTGCTTTCGGGGCCAACAGGATAAGCTGCAGTTTTGCAAACAGGAACTCACTGGGCTCCTTGCTGAGATATGTTTTATCCCTGTAACTCTCTACTTCAGGGCTAAAAATGCATTTGATGTTCTCACATCCTTGAAAGGCTCACCTGCTTCAGGTGGGTAAAGGCGTCGCTGCTAGAACACACAGCCTGCTTCTCTTCCTCGTCCTTTCTCCTTTTCTTTGAGCGAGGAGCTGCCTTCTCCCCTGTCCTCTGGGTCCGTTTGCCTCGTGGTTTCTTGGTTTCATTTCCTCCATCTACTTTTGGCAGCTGGTTGTTACCACATCCAAAACCACCTTGCGTGTGAGCTCCCAGAGTTTGCTAATGTAATTGGAAAAGTTAAGAAGTAAGTGGACTGTTCACACATGGATTTCCAGTTCATACTAACCCCTGACACACATTCCTAACATGAGTAAAATTCAGGAGGGGAGACAGTGGCATCGAATGCTCTCACTGTTTTCTGAAAATATCATCGCTTTCTTCAAACATTCTCAAGTGTGGAAGTCAGTGAGCTGCAAAGCTGGAGCTAAGAGCAGAACTCCTAAGTTGGCTCCTTTCTCTCCCAGAGGAAGCACTGCTACAGCCTGACTTGGAGCACAGCCGAGCCGTGCTGAGCCGGCGACAGACCAGCCCTCCAGTCCCTGCTGTGGCCCACGCACAGGGCCTGGCTGAGTTGTCCTGGGCTCCCTGCGGCGTGGGTAAGTACAAGGCCAGCAGGACAACGGCAGGCTCCAGAGAAGCCTTACCTTGCACACCTCTAGTTGAGAACGGGCCTCAGATCAATAAACAACAACACCGGGCTGTAGATCCGCTCCCAATCGTGCATTTGACTCCCTGCCTACTGCTGTTTACTTGGAGTCGATGAAAAAGAACAACGTGATAGCCAACAAACCTGTCTTTACTTTTGTCTTTATAATTAAGATGTGAGAATAAATCAGTCCTTGAAGAGGTTTTAAAGTCAGTGCTACTGATACCTAAAAATACAGGAGTTTTCTTTAGGGCCATTATTTCTAAATTTGCTATAGGCAACTATAGCTGCTGAACTTCTTTTAATGAATCTTTAAGGGTTTTGAAGATTATAGTTTCCAGATATAATCTAAATGGGTTAGAGCATGGACAGCACATTTTTCTGCAAAGTGCCACGTAGTAAACATCTTAGCCTCTGTGGGCCATACAGCATCTGTCCCAACGATTCGGTTCTCGGCCCAATACTGCAAAGGCAGCCATGGATAATCCATAAATGACAAAGTTGGCTGTGTCCCAATAAAACTTAAATTCATGGACACTGAACCTTGAATCTAGTGTGATTTTCACATGTTGAAAAATATTACTCATTAGGTTTTTTTTCCAACCATTTAAAAATGTATAAACCATTCTTAGCTCCTACGAAGAAGAGGGGGAAGCAGGCTCAGATTGCCCACCCACCGGGCCGGATTCGAGGTTCTCAGAGGGCTACCCCTGCCGCAGAGTGTGCATCACCTGGGTGGCTTGGAAATGCATGTTCTCTGGCCCCACCCACACCTACTGAATCAGACACCTGGGAGTGAGGGCTCCAGATGATACTGACACATTAGTTCGGGAACCTCCGTCCTAGAGTCGTCCTCTGCATGTGTATAGGAATTTCCTGGGATCTTAGGAGAACATATTGGTAGGTCTGTGTTGGGCATGTGATTCTGCATTTCTGAAAAAGCTCTGGGTGAGGTCACACTGCTGATCCCAAGGACTGAAGTCTGCAAAGCAAGTGCCTAAGATTGCTCACTGGCTTTTAAGAGACTAATATGTAATCACTTGTGTAAGTGTAAGTGGGCCAGGCACAGATATTATCTCTAATCCTCACAACCCCTTAGAAAGCTGATATTACTACATTTCAAAAAATATATTTAACTATAGAAGAACACAAACATCATCGGAAAGTATGCCTGAGATTAAAAAGTCAACATTTTGCCTTAGCCGGTTTGGCCCAGTGGAGCGTTGGACTGCAGACTGAAGGGTCCTGGGTTCAATTCCAGTCAAGGACTGGTACCTCGGTTGCAGGCTCAATCCCAGCCCTAGTCAGGGCGCATGTGGGAGGCAACCAATCAATGCGTCTCTCTCACATTGATGTTTCTCTCTGTCTCTCCCTCTCCCTTCCACTCTCTAAAAATCAATGGAAAAATATCCTCGGGTGAGGATTTTAATCTCAGGTGAGGGTTAAAAAACAAAACAAACAAAAACAGTCAACATTTTAATGTATCTGTTTGCGATCTTTTATGGGTGCCTACATGTATTTTGTTAAAAATACAACAGATCGAAAAATAAAATAATTTTTAAAAAATACAACAGATTGCACTTTGCTTTCTTTTGTTTGGTTGCTGCTTTTTAAACTTGACAGGTTCCCCAAGACATTGAACGTTCTTACATAGCAAAATGAAATGGCTGCAGAAAACCCTGTATGTCATTCAGACTTTGAGACATTAAATAATGATTTAACCAATAGCTGCTAGAGTGAGTCTAGGTTGTTTTTTTTCCCCTCTCTTTTTCTCTGTTAATAGAGACAGAATCTTAGCTATTCATGTAGTTACATCTTTGCACATATTAGAATCTTACATTCCTGATGCCAGATTCCTAAATGTACAGTTGGTAGGTCAAAGGTATGAACCTTTTATAAAATATTACAAGCACTGTTTGTGCTTTAACTTCTGCAATCCTTGTGGCAACCCCACACAACAGGGGATGAAGATCCTGTTTTACAGGTGAGGAGAGCGAGGTACAGAAAGGGTGCTTCCTAGGACGACAGCTGGTTAAGTGCTGAGACACGGACCTCATCCAAATGGGAGTGGTGGGACCCCCACTCTGACGAGGAGGGTGCCCCTCTCCTAATCCCAGCTGCTGAGGGGGAACAGTGTGGAGAAGCACTGGGCCTAGCCAACTACTGCCACAACGATGTTGCCTACATGGGACTTAAGTACATGAAGTTCTTCATCTGCAAAGTGGGGATAATGATATGTCAGGACAAGTGCTCAGCATGGCCCACACCAGGAGTGTGGTCAGGACTCGTTACCCCTGTTAACAGTGTGCCTGCCCCTGTGACCCCCCCAGAACCCAAACATTTATACATATATGATTGATCTCACCCCTTTCTCTACCTGATCGCCATTATTAGGACTTCACTTCACTACCCGAGTGCTGACTCCTTGCTAACGTGAGCAGGGGTTGCAAGATGTGTTTGAGAAAGGCGCCTGGAGAAGACGGTTCCAGAACTGAGTTCTCAAAGGAAAAAGACACTGGCTAGATGTAAACGCCAAGGGGAGCTGCGGGCCACACAGCACGTGGGAGGGTGAGGACATAAGGGCACTCGGGCACTGCAAGAGTTCACTGTCCCGAGGGGCAGCGGGTAGCTGGAGACTGGGCATATCTGCTAGTGACAAAGAGGCTGAGAAAGTATTACCACTAACTGAAATTTACAAAAATTACATAGATCTATCGACTCAACAGCCACCCTCTACTGAACAGTCAAACAAGAGAAAAGGAAGCCAACACTTGCCTAAAGCTAGGCTCTGTACCACTAGGTATCACTGTAGAAAATGGAAACGCAATGTGAGCAGCACTGTGGGAAAGCTTATGAATACATAGGAACATACTACAGCTTCTGAAAGACAAAGAAGCAAAACTGTTCCTGTGACCCAGGAACCCCAGTTTGAGAACCATCTCATGGAACTTCATTAAAATGCGGGAGCTGGAATCTTGTAAAGATGTATTTACACGGCCCTCCTAAAAGCGAAAAATAAAAAACAAAAGCAAACCCAAAGAGCAAACTACTGATACATGAAAAAGGACAAAGGTTAACTAGCACCTGTGTGTAGGGCTGCATTTGTATAGCATTGTGTGTTAATACATGCGACACGGGGGCTGCCTGAGAGGGAGCTCTGGTGTGTTTCAAAAGTCCATGGAATACACACGCTTTCTCAATAAGATACACATTTGCTTCTTCGCTTTAGTTAAAGCAGCCTGATGTGGGAAGAGATCAGCTGACAGGCCCAGGTTACACCTGAAAAGCGTCACCACGTCTCTGAGTTTTGAAAAACGAAGCATATACATCATTACTTAACATGTATGTGTCTACATCAGAACATGGGATCCATGAAGGCAAAGCCAAGAAAACAAAGCGGTCCCATGCAGGCGAAGGCTGCACGAGCCGGCGTGAACACGGGGCCTGCGCGGCCACCCGCCGGGGGAACAGGAGACAGCTGCACGGGCGGGGCGCACTTACCGGTCCTTTGGCTGGGTTCTGCCGCTCCACCGGCTTGCTGTCCTTCGTGCTGTCGTCTTGTGGGCAACAAGTGCCTTCAGGTTTCTGGGTCACGAGGGCAGCGGCCTTCTTGTTTTTCAGCAGGTGCTTCAGAAGCTCATTGCCCACATCTCCTTTGGCAGCAGGGGGAGGGCTCTGCCCTGAGGAGATGGGACAGACCACAGCTGTGTCTCCAGCCTGACTCCCAGCCTGTCCCTCTGAGGGAGGCCCCTCGGGGCCTGGGCACTGCTGGGGCTCGGCCATCTCCGGTTTGACCTCGTCAGCCGTGGCAGGAGTGCTCGCGGGCCGCGTGTCCACCCCTGCAGTGGCGGACGTCTGCTGATGGGGGGTTCCTTGTGAGAACTCCTCGGGGGGCAGACTGTTTTCCAGGTCTGTACACTGCTGGCCTGCGGCCGCGCTTGCAACCAACGAGCCAGCTGCTTCCCCCGGCTCGGGCTCTCCTTGCAGAGGCAGCTCGCTGGGCGTGTGGACTGTGGGTGTGGAGGTAGTTTCAGAGACACTCGGGGTTGGGGGAGCAGTGATATCTGAGTGTGGAGTGGACGGTGCCTTGGTGGACTCCACGTCATCATCTTTCTTCTTTTTTCTTGTTCTTTTCTTCTTCCCCTTTTCCTCTGGGATGATATCAGAATACAGTTGAATGAGAGACTGGGCCGATCCGGGGTAACCTTGTCCATGGGTTAAGGCAGGGTCTTGGCCACAGGGGAGACTGCTGTTGGCTCCTGGCGATGCTGTGGGCAAGGCAGGTGTGAAAGGAGCCCTCACGGGGGACTGCTGGAAGCCAGCCCCGGGAAGACTGCTGTGCGCCTGCTTACCAGGGTGTAAGGTTGGGCTCCCACCAGGAACTGACATCGAGTCAGGGACCAACGAGGGGGGTCCTATCTGTCTTCGCTCGTTGGTCTGCATGAAAGTTGGGGTGGGGGGTGAATTCACAGACCCTTGTGGCATGCTCTGCTGCTGCAACACCTGGCCCACCTGCTGCTGCTGTTGAGGAGACTGCGGAAGGGGCCGTGGAGGCTGCAGGAAGTCACAAGGCAGGTCAGGGCCGTAGAATGGGGCCTGGGGCACGGCTGTCCTTGTGCTCAGCTCCGGACCCATCAGACCGTGCTGCTCCAGCTCCATCCTCTGCTGCAGGGCTCTCTGGCGGTCCACCTCTTGCATGAGCTGGATTCGCTGCCTCTCCTGCTGTTCTCGGAGACGCTCCTTCCGTTCCCGTTCTTGAAAACTTTCACTAAAGGGGTTGTTGTCATCAAACTCCACCCGTGGAGGCGGGCCGCTCTGTGGATTTGCATTGGGCACTGTCCCTGGGGCTGATGCACACGTTTTCATTGGTAATTGGGCAACTGGAGGCTGGACCCGGGGAGGGTTGAGGGGGAGGTGAGCAGGGGCACTGGGAGGCTGCCATCCGGGTAAGCTAGGCATCCGGGCGGGGCTGGTGTGGCCAGGAATGACAGCTGAGTGCTGCAGTGGCTGGGCCACCAGGGGGAAGGTGGGCGGGCCCATGGCAGGTGGGGCAGCTCCGGGAATGGGGGGCGGCACCCTGGGCATGACAGCAGGTGGGGCCATTGCGTGCTGCTGCTGCTGCTGCTGCTGCTGCTGCTTGATCCGGTAATCCTCCATCAGCTCCGCGTGCTCCTTCTGCTGCTTCCGGATCTGGAAGAAGAGTTAAATCTCACTCATGGACGGTGCTGCAGGTGCCCAAGGGCTCTGGGGGTTATACCGAAAGCAGTTCGATCTTAATACAGGCAAAAATACTTGGCTGAGGCAAAGGGCAAAATCACAAAAAGTTGGATTGATAAGCATTAACTAAAGGTTGCCGATCTTTTTTAACAACAGAATTTTTCTATCATCTGTAAAATTTCTTTACTTATGAAATACCAAAACCAAATTTAAAACAACTTTTTGAAACGAATAGTAAAAAAACCTTACTGTGAAGTCAAACTATTTAAACTGCACAAAACAATAAAAACTTCACAGAAATCATTAACTGCGACACCTTAGAAGTGACATTAGTACACAAGTTAAGAGTAACTGTGAGATTTAACTCAAATTTACCATTGAAACGTTACAATTTCACTTCTTCAATAGACAAAATGGCTCGACATGTTAGGATAACTACTAGCATGTGTTCCACACCCTCCCCTTCAGGTTAAAAAGACTGGATTGGAAAACTCTGCATTTAACAGCTAACATGCTCAAGTGATGATTTCTGAAATGTGTACAGGCCCAAGGTAATGTTCTGAATAGCTCCTAGTAGCGCCCTGACTGGTGTCAGTTACTTCATTCCAAAACCCTCTGTGCCCCAGTGCAAGATGCCACAGACTCATCCCAAGGGAGACACTGCCCGAGTCCTGGGGGCGCATGGCCTCCCTTAGGGAGCTGGGAGGGAGAGGCTCTGGGTGACATTCGCATCCTTCAAAACCACTCCAATTTTGGATTATGTGCATATTATACCAGTAGTTCTAACAGTTTCCCTGGCCAACTGGCACATTCTCTGCATGTGATGGTTCTGACCTGCTCTCCAGTAGCTGTGTAACTTCTAACTTATTTTCTTATCTTTTCTTATCTTTACTGGCATTGGATTGGGGAAGTGGTTCTCAACCTGTGGGTCGCGACCCCTTTGGGGGTCGAAGGACCCTTTCACAGGGGTCGCCTAAGACCATCGGAAAACACATATATAATTACATATTGTTTTGTGATTAATTACTATGCTTTAATTATGTTCAATTTGTAACAATGAAAATACATCCTGTATATCAGATATTTACATGACGATTCATAACAGTAGCAAAATTACAGTTATGGAGTAGCAAAGAAAATAATTTTATGGTTGGGGGTCACCACAACATGAGGAACTGTATTAAAGGGTCGCGGCATTAGGAAGGTTGAGAACCACTGGATTGGGGAAGCAGTATGATAGACATTGAATACCTCAGTACCTGGAACATAGAAGGTGGTGGTCCCTGCCTTTCCCAGGACATTTAAAAATACTTCAGAAAACATTGTCAGCAATTGCTTACTTTACTGAGATACGATGGACTGTTGACAACTATACAGTAACAGATGAGATGCCCATTTTCCAAGTTCAGTATTAGCTTCTGTGAGTATTTGATGCATGGATATAAAATTAGGCCCTTCGCATAGAGAAGTTATAAAAATACACTGAAGGCAATGAAAATGCTAAAACTACTTTATAAGAAATACCCTTAAAAGAACATTTACTTGCAATAAGCACAAACCCAGCGAGTAAATTTAAAGAGAAAAGAAACCTCTCACTCTGGATTAGCTCCAGTGTAGCTTGCAGATAAGTCATTTGAGTCAAAAACCCTAATTCCATAGTCAGTGTGAGTGAGCATGCACTCAGCTCTGCGAGGACTCAGATCCTCTGTGCATGCCATGGTTTAATATTCACGTCTTTGGAAGGTGGTAGAGAAGGTTGTTTACTAGAGTGTTCATTACAGAGAAAACACTCCGATTTCTGTCAATCTACTCTGAATGCCTCCCTTTCTGTATTAACATTTAGATTACTTTTCAATTTTATTTTAAAAGTTAAAATAGACAGTTAGAAGCAAAGGTGACTTTTGGGTGGACAATTCCATTAATGTTAATGCACAGAGACATTGGTGCAGCCATCGCCACAATCAAGATACAGAAAATTCCTCAGCCCTGACCGGTTTGGCTCAGTGGATAGAGCACTGGCCTGCGGACTGAAGGGGCCCAGGTTCGATTCCGGTCAAGGGCATGTACCTTGGTTGCAGGCACATCCCCAGTAGGAGGTGTGCAGGAGGCAGCTGAATCGACGTTTCTCTCTTATCAATGTTTCTAACTCTCTATCCCTCTCCCTCTCCCTTCCTCTCTGTAAAAAAATCAAAAAATATATTTAAAAAAAAAGAAAATTCCTTCATGTGACCCACCCCTTAGCAGTCACACCTTCTTCCCTCATCCCTTAGCCCTGGAAACCTCTATGGTCCATTTTTATAACTCTGTCATTTCAAGAATGTCATACAAATAGAGTAGCCTATAACAGGTGGGGATTAGCATCTTTTACTCAGTACAATGTTCTCGAGATCCATTCAGGTAATTCTGTGTAGTGCTCCCCTGTGTGCACACACAGCACCCTGTCCAACAATTCACCACTGAAGGGCACCTGGGTTGTTTCCAGGTTTTGGTGACTATGAACAGAGCCCTTACATTTGTGTACAACCTTCTGTGTGAAGCCAGGTTTTTAATTCATTAGGTAAGTACCTAGGAGCGGGCTCTTAGCCCATCTTGAACAGTTACTGTTTAATTTTAAATAAAAAATTAAAGTTTTACTTCTTTTTAAGTATAATTGTTCCTTCAATGAACATTTTGAGAAATATGTTCTGGTTTGTTATGGAAGATAACAGCAGAATGGTTTCATTTTTCAGGAATGAGTACTTCTCATAAAATATACCATGTATTTTAGAAATATTAATAAAAATACAATGAAAATGAATCACCAGAATGACTTAAATGCTTTATCTGAAATTTCACTAGAAACCAGGGAACTAAAGACAATGGGCAAGCAAAGGTCAACTCCAAGTGAACAAATACTTCTGGGGCCCAATTCTTGTTCCCGCCTGAACCAGGGTTCCCCATGAGCTCTGTGCTCAGTGGAGCTGAGGACCCCAGAGGGATTTTTTTAGGCAGGGAAAGTACCTGGATTTCCCTGGCTGTCCCAGGTTTCATACCAGAGTGTGGAAGTGGCTTCTCTAGGTGAGGGTTATGAATTAACCTCTTCAGTGGCACGTATTAAATATGTGCTGTGTGACTACCACTCCAGGGACAGGACCAGCTGTAACTTCCTAGGTTAGTGAGAGGCCCACAAGCTGCGCCTGCGTCTGCCCAACACTAATCAAGCCCTGCGTCCGCTCGCCAACGCCTGCCCGCCGTGCAGAGGCGGCCGTTACCTGCTCCAGCTGCTTCTGAACCATGCTCTGCTGCTCGGTCACATGCTTGAGTTGCTCCGCGTCCTCTTCTGGGAACTCACGCCCGGCCTTCTTGGCGGTGCGCTGCTTGGCCGAGAGGGCCTTCTTGGATTTTCTGTGTGCGCCGATTTGTTCTTCGAGGTATTTCTGCTGCATCTGAAGCAGCTGCTGGGTCTCCTGAAGCCACTCTTCGTATTGCTTACGTTGGGAGTCATCTGAGTGGATAATGAAAAAATCAGCTCTGTTAATTTTCTAGAGTCCAATAAAAAGTTACGCAAATCCATTTTTGTAAGGAAATGCATTTTACCATGACCCTGTAATAGGTATTCTGAAAACATGATACTAAACATTAGACCATAATGTAACTATAAAGTAGGAGATTTTAGGAAAATATTTATTTGAGAAAACCAAAGAAGGCATGTTTTTAGCTCACAGGCTACCTTCATACTTATCAAGACTATAAATCCAGTTTCTGAAAGCAGATGACTTTTATCTAACAGATAAAAACAATCTGCTCAACTACCAAGTTCTCTAACTCATGTGTGTATTTCATTAAGTCACATTTACAGACTTTGAAGAGACAAAGTGAGACACATGTATCTTATTAAGGTCCAAAGCACAGGTTAGGTATCCTTTCCCATGTTAATTTCCCTAAGTTTTAAGGGTTACTCTTTTTCTCAATAGTGAAAACATGTCCTGAACCGAGAAGGAGGGAACCTAGAATGCCTTAGAAAGGACAATCTGAAGTCTATGTTTTATAAAGTAAATCTCTAAGTTAAAAACATTGGTAACTTATGGATTTTATAATTTAGTACTTGTATAAGTAAGCAAAGTAAAATCTTTAATCAACCAAGTAAAATCTTGACTACTTTTATGACTGTCATTGATATTGCCCCAAAATAGTTATATCTCTTAATCTTGTACCAACAGTCCTTCTTTATTCTTTTTTTTTAAATATATTTTATTGATTTTTTTACAGAGAGGAAGGGAGATAGAAAGTTAGAAACATCGATCAGCTGCCTCCTGCACACCTGCCACTGGGGATGTGCCCGCAACCAAGGTACATGCCCTTGACCGGAATCGAACCTGGGACCTTTCAGTCCGAAGGCCGACGCTCTATCCACTGAGCAAAACCGGCCAGGCCCTTCTTTATTCTTTAAGGGCACTTCACGTCACTGATTCCAAGTTAAAAAAAAAAAGTCATCTCATGGTAGTGAAATTCAGAATATACCTTTTTGAAGACAAAGAAATGAGTAAGTACAATTTCAGGAAGGAAATTCGCTGAAAAATTACATCAGTGATAACAATATTATCATACAGTGAGAATGCAACCAAAGCCAATCAATGGGCACAGTAAAGCCAGAAAAAGCCAGTTGGTTACAGCAGTTTGTTTTTAATGCGAAATGTGTTCAAATTATGATAATAATTAATGCAGGGGAATTTTAATGGGTCAGACTTTGGGTTTGTTCCTAAACCCAGAAGTCCCAGTACATGTATGAACTTGAAATCTAGTCTAAATTTGAAGGGCATTTTTTTAAGAACAGGCTTTTTCAACAAGGTTTCAGAAGTTCTGCTTCTGGTAGAATGAGACCTACCGCAAGGAAAGCCTTTCTGGTTTCTGGAACCAGGAGAGCAGAGGTGAGCAAAATGAAAAATAATGGTGAAAAAAAAAAAGTTAGCTAAACAGTCTGAAGATTTCAGAAAGGTTCAGTTTGGGGAGAACTTTAAATACTATCCTGAACCACCTTGGGACCCCTGGAGATAACTCAAAAGGACTCAGTGGCATCCTGCATCCTTGCCCTTCACACCATGCTGCTAACCCAAATGATTCCTAAGCACATTTCCTATGTTGTTCCCATTTAGTGTCCTTGTCACAGAGGCAGACAGTCATTAGAGCAAGAAAAGGCTAAATTCTAGTTGTAAAGTGCCCAATCTACATATAAAACAAACAAAAAACCCAGCAACAATATTGAAGAGAATGGGAAAGGTGATTTTTCTGTATTAAAATATTTACCTAACTATAATTCTTCATGCATAGAGAAAAAAAGCAATGAAAATCCATGCCTTGAGGAAAAGACACCAAATAAGGTTTCATAAAAGATGAGGGCACTCAGACTGAAAAACACACCTACACTAACTCCAAGTTTTTAGAACACAGAGCGCAAACAAGCAATCCCCAGAGAACAGGTGACTTATTAGATTTATACTTACTGACAAAGCCTGGACCAAAATTTGGAGGATTAGGCCTAGAAAGCTGATGTGTTATACTGCCATCCTAAAATAAGTAAAATTTACAAATAGGTTTATTCCACATTTCAGTTAAAAGGGGGAAAATTTTTTTAAAAAGAAAGAGAAAGAAATGGAAGGGGGTGAAAAAAAACCTTTAATTTCCTAAGACATCTTTAAAGCTCTCCTTTTAACAAAAAGTAGATGAGTTGAGTGGTGAAAACCTATTTTCTGAAAATTTTAAATTATCTCTGAACTATTTCATAGATTTCAGTTGAAAAACGTGTGAGGTAAGGGATGATCCACCGGAAATACAACAGTAGGGCAAATCAAATATTGTTAGCACATAGCTAGAGATCATGTAAAACTCTACTTTTTTATGAAATCCACCTGGTTTCTTCTGCAATTAAGACATAAATATGGGTTCTGGATTGACTAGATCCCACTTCACAGCACACACTTCTTTATTAACAAAACCCGACGTCTCTAAGATGTACAAGTAATTGAAAATATTAGTCTCATTTTTTAAATTAAATGTCTTGTTTCTTCCAGAGTGACTGAATAAACAGTTTTTAATTTCACAATTCCCTGGAGACAATCTAATACGTTTAACTTTGAGAAAATATTAATCAGTCGTTACAAGTTCTGTTAGACATGAGCTGTACACAAGGTAACGATTGTAAGAGACACTAGCAGCCAGAATGTGCTGTATGTAACCCTTACACTGTGAGGCTGGAGACCATTTGACAGGTAGGGAAAAATGCAGGTCACAGGACGTATACAAACTTTGCACAGGAAATTTAGAGTGGAACTGAGTTTTTATAAAAACTCATCTATGAAGCCTATGTTTTTTCCACCGCCTGAGATGCAAGATGGTCTCTCTTCTTTTAATAATAAAAACATAGTAATCAGCATAATAAAGCTGAAGCACAAATTGCTGGGCAGAAAAGAAGATTCCACAAAGACATGTAGTAGGTCACTTAACAGGTAGTTTGCTTTTTTTAAAAAATCTAGGCAGACACTTGAAAAAAAAATCATTGAAGAAAACTCTGTATGAGATGAGCAGGTCTACTTACTTTCCCTAACATTGCTTGGCACTCAAATTTATACTTCAAGATGATTATCATGAATGGTGAATATCCAAAAGACTAAATTATTCCAAGGAATAAATAGCAGAACACGACTGTATCTAAATAGAATGATTACAATCAGTACTCTACTGTTTATAACAGATTTACATTTTTAAAAATAATGAATTAAATACAAAATGCAGAACATGAAAATGTCTTTGTGGAGTCCAAAATAAAAACCCAAGAGATTAGCCAAAGAACATATATGCATAGCCCATGGACATGGACATGGGCACGGACAACTATGTGGGGAAGGCTGGGGGTTGGAGGGGCTGGGTGGAGAGGAGCCGAGGAGGAGGGAGTGGGGACATCGGTAACAGTGTCAGCAACAGAAATAAATAAATGTAGAATCAGAAACCCTAAGCATTTGGTTGCCCTCAAGTGACTTCCTACCCTTAAATATATGGGTCCTTTTCAGAAACTGTGGTCAATTTTAGTCTTAATAAGAAAGTCTTTATTTTTGCTGAACAGATATCTAAGCTCCTATGTCTTCCTAGAAGTGGCCTCGCTGGGCAGAAGAGGTCTGTCAGGAACAGGACAGTATGGTTTTGGTGACAATACCTGAGGAATGGCCTGTGGCAGGAGAGTCTGGCCGTCACCTGTTGGCGCTCCAGTCACCGACTGGCCCATAAAGGGGAACCTGTGGAGGAAAGCACTAGGTGTCAAATGACAAGCATGTACAACTACACTTATTTTACGTGCTCCACAATCTTGTCTTCCAGGGAAGAAAGAATGGCATGTCATCATCATCATGAACATCTGCGAAGGCCCAGTCTTCTGAGTGCCAACCCCAGTTCACCCTCCGCACCCTCTCTGAAGTGCAGCCTCTTCCTGCCGTCCTGACTCATGAGTCCCAGGCCCACCAGTGAGCTGTGGTAAGTAGGCCACACCAGAGTTTCACTTTCTATTCATGATTCATCATGCCCTAAAATAAAATTAATTCAACTCTTTGGATAAAAATATCTAATGAAGAAATAGTTTTATTATATACATTCTAAGAAAATTTTTTTCTTCTTCCAATCTTTATTTTTAAAAATGCCTTTTCCGAACTGAAAAAGTAAAGATAATAGGTAACTTAGCTATTTTGTATTCTAAACTAAAAATTCACTTTCAAGAAGTTTCACACATTTTCTATACCTAATGTTAAAGCAAATTAAAAATTGGTCACAGACCAAGAAAAAGTCTACAAGGTTAAAAATATTTGGCCAGCCCAGCTGGTGTGGCTCAGTGGTTGAGCGTCAACCCATGAACCAGAAGGTCACTGGTTCAATTCTGGGTCAAGGCACATGCCTGGGTTGTGGGTTCGATCCCTAGTACAGGGCGTGCAGGAGGCAACTGATTGATGTTTCTCTCTCATTGATGATTCTAACTCTGTATCCCTATCCCTTCCTCTCTAAAATAAATAGATACTTTTAAAAAATTGGCCAATATATTTTTTTGTTGTTGTTAATCCTCACATGAGATATTTTTCCATTGATTCTTAGAGCGGAAGGGAGGAGGAGGAGAGGCAGAGAGATACACACATTGATGTGAGAGGGCTCGGGACTGAGCCTGCAACCAAGGTACGTGACCTTGACCAGAACTGAACCCAGAACCCTTCAGTCTGTAGGCCGATGCTCTATCCACTGAGCCAAACCAGCTAGGGCTGGTCAATATTCACCTATCACCCCTGCACCCACTACAGCCTGGGCAGGAATGATCTCTTAATCCAAATATCACTCACTGTCCATCACCCTCAGTAGCATATCACACTATGTTGAGGGGCTAATACCTCCACTTCTTCAAAGCACTCAGAAGAATAGCAAACGCTATGCCTAAAACGGGGCTAATACCTCTAATTATGATGCTGAACCAGCAGGGGTTCTAATTCTGAGGTCCATCTTTTAAACTAAGTGCTAACCAAGTTTAGCATTTCCTTCTATTTTGACTATAAACAGCAAACTACAGTATTATTAGCAGTGGTGACTTCGTCACCAACAGAACTCACATGGCTTTCATAACAAAAGTTGTTGCACATACTAATATTCTAATTCATTGTTACTTTGAAATTATGGTAATTATTAGACCTTCTGCTAAATTTGTTAAAGCATCAAGAAGTACATATGCATAATTTTTAAATTTAAATAACTTTCAAATATGACTGATTTCCTTTGTAGTATGTTTTTGGTTTTGCACATAAAATGTTCTGCATCAAAAGGTGTACGACATAAAAAAGAACCCTATGATAAAGAATTAGTGTGAATAAATACTGTGCAACAGTGCAAATCTCTACTTTGATCTCAACAATACCTCTTACCCATTTCCAAACTATCTCAACAAATGAAAAGAACTACTCCTTTAAGGACTCCTAACTAATCGGAAGTCTCACTTATTAAAGTCAGCTTGATTTTACATTCAATTCCATAATCATTCTTTTCATAAAAGTTGTTCAACAAGATAATGAGGCTAACTTGAGGCTTTCTCCTCGCTACTGACAGAGGCTATCAACCAGAGATCTCCATAAGAGAGGACCAGTGCCATCTGCAGATATTCTGACTTAGTAGGTCTGTGTTGGATTAATGCAAATGCATTTTTTAAAATTGCCATATAATTCTGACAGTGGTCCATGATAAAAACTTAAGATATAGCCCTGGCTGGCATTGCTCATGGGTTAGAACACTGGCCCGCAAACAAAGGGTCTGGGGTTAGAGCACCGTTCAAGGGCACATACTTCAGTTGTGGGTTCACTCCCCATCCCCAATTGGGGCGCATGTAGGAGGCAACCATCTGTGTGTCCCTCTCACATCGATGTTTCTCTCTCTGTCTCCCTCCAGCCCCCCTTCCACTCTCCCTGAAAAAGCAATGGAAAAAGATGCCCTCAGGTGAGGGTTAACAAAACAAACAAACAAATAAGATACTGCCCTGAAGTTAATATCCCTTAGCTGGCACAAGTACTCTAATTCCATAAATTCACGTGGTCAAACAACTCTTACAGTCTTCTTTAATGCATAATTTCCATTTTTCTGCTAATGGTGAAAAGATATACAAATTATCCTAACTTTCCAATGCCCTCTTTTCTATTCTTCTTGCCATTTCTTTCTGATCTGATTAGTTTGGAGACTTTCACTTTAGAGCTTGGCTCACTCAGTCCCACACTTTTCTCTGCATTGTTCCTTTGATGGTATAAAAAATATTCACAGGCTTAAAGAAACCATTGTCTTATCTCCACAGTTTGACTCCTATTTTCCTGCTCATCCTCTCATCTGCGTGTAGGATGAAAGATCTCGGTCCCAAGACTCATGTCAATCTTACAAGCCTTTCTATGATGTTTTATTATGTTTATCCTGAAACTAAAGGAAATTGATCATATCCAGCTAATATCACAACAAATATAAATACTATTCATTCCTAAAACATAGTGGGCTTTTTTATATATTTGAGTTTTGGAGAGAGAGGAAGTCGGAGGGAAAGAAACATTGATTGGCTGCCTCCGGCCTCTCCACTGGGGATCAAGCCCACAGGTCAGGCATATGCCTTAACCAGGAATCAAACCGTGACCTCTTGGTTCCTGGGGCGATGCTCAAACACTGAGTCACACTGGCCGGGCTAGAACATAGGGTGGTTTTTAGGTACTGTATATTCTTTGTAGGAACTAGTAATCATTTCATACACTTCTTTTTGCAAAGGAAAATGAGAAACACCTTCACCTACCTGTTCATGACCATTGGTGGCATGCCCATATTGTTTTGTGCCATTACTTTATTGATGCCTTTAAGGGCCACCATTTTGGCTTTCATTATAGGATCTGTAATTGCATCAAAATCTAAAGAAGAAATATATTTTAAAGTTACTAATTTCATAGTACTTGGTTCAAGTTACACTTAACTGTCACAAACATATGTAATTTAGAGGTTTTTATTCCTTATTATTTAATAAGCATTATCACAGGTTTCCAGGCTAGGTAAGGAATGATGAGATACAAGGAACCTTAACCAAATTTAATGGCATCTCAGTGGCCCATCATTGAAGCAAGCTTGGATACCTTAGTCCTGCAGGAGTGAAAACGGAAAGCTTGTCACATTGAAGGGGAATGACAGCAATAATCTAAAGCAGCGAGAGTCTTTTCACCCAAACTTTCACATGCTAATCAAAACTGCTTCAAAATGTTAATGTCCTGAGAATTTACAGTTATTTCCAGTACTAAGGAATTCCACTAAATCAGTTACTACCCTTTGAGAGAAAAATGTATCCCTTCTTGAGGACATAGCTTTGCAATAAAGATAGGCTACTGAGAAAAGACCTCTTTGCATAGAAGTGAAAAAGAGATGGGACAATATGCTAATTTTTACTCTTAGAGACACTCAGGTAATTTTACTGCGTTGATGTTTTGTGGGTTTCCTCCCCAAAACTAGTAAGCAATTGGAAACAAGTTAAAGAGCTTTATATAACCAAAAACTGCCAAGCATTTATAGTACACAAATAGACATTAAGGAGTTTGTTTCTATCATGATTTCTTTAAATTAAATGCCTCTGAAAATAAATGATTAGAAGGAAGGAATAAGAAGACTTGTTTCTGTTAATAATGTAAGTAGGACTAAGAAGGTCACACTCAAGGTTCTGAACCTCTTAACTGAGCTGGCAGGAATCTAAAGGCTTCATCACTGTGTGACCCTCAGTGCTCTAGTCCACGTGTGTCGTGAACACTGCAATCCTACAAGCACACTGCACACCACCCTGCGCCCACTGTGGCTCCCACTGAACCAAAGGCCACTCCTACCGATGTTGGGGAAGAAGGGTTCCGACCGCTGCCGGATCATGGCCTGCATCTGTCTCTGCTGCTGCTGCTCCTGCCTCTCTTGGTCCAGAAGGTCCTGCAGCAGCAGAGGCTGTTCGTCCAGGAGGAGGGGTCTCTCTCTGCTCTGCGGGGTGAGTGTCGGAGGGACCACCAGTGGCGGGGGTCCAGACTGACTGGATAGGGGCACAGTTTGATCCGTAGGTTTTCCTGTCCCAAAACCATGATTAACTGCTGGCTGACCCTGAAGGAATCCTGGGTTGACCTGCACACTCTGAGGAAAAGCGTGGTTTACCCTAGAGACTACTGCCATGTTGGAGTTCATGGTAGTATCCAGAACATGACCAGGCGGTGTCATCAGCGGAGGAGGCAAACTTGGCATGTGGCTGGATGTTGAGACTGGCAACGTTGGTGGTGGAGACCCCAACGGCTCCATGTCTGGAGTTTCCGACTTTTCATTAGCAAGTAAACTGGTAAGAACTGGAGTCGACCCAGTTACGCCACAAGAATTGGCTGTGTCTTCAGCAGGCAGCTGAGTGGGTCCATGAGCAGCACCTGTGCTGGAGCCAGCGGTTTCGCGAAGAGCTCTTTTGTCAGGTAGGTCTGCGTCACAGGACTGTGGAGGGGCCTCGTCTCCACCCTGCAAGTCTGTGTGAGCAGCAGCCTGGGAGCAGGGAGTGTCAGCGTGATCTTTACCCTCATCGGTTTTCTCACTTTCACATTTGGTTTCCCCTTTAGAATTTGGAGACAGTACTTCTGTTTTTATCTCACTGGTGACAGTGGATTTTTTCCATGGGGAATGTTTATCAGAAGGAACCACACTTTTATCTTCTTGCTCCTTTTTTTTTGGTTCAACAGATACACACTGATTATCTAACTTATCATCAATTGGGACATTAAGGTCTAGTTCTGCGTTAAACATGCTTTTCTTATCTCCTAGGTCAAGTTCTGGATCTGTATACGCAATGATATCAAATTCTCCTGACCTTAAAAGGTCATCCAGGTTGGGATCATTAGTTTCCAAATTACCTAAAGTATCCAATTCATCTCCCTTTCCATCTTCTGTATCTAGATTTAAATTTTCAAGATCTTCATCATCCAAGTCTTTGACCTCAACCCCCTCAAGATCTTTAACATCTAGCTCTTTTACAGATGGGTCATCAGAATCAAGTTTTTCTTCAAGACCATCAGAAGACTGGGAAGTTACCTGTAAATTATCAGACGTTGTTTCAACTGATGTAGATGTTGACAAAGAGGCCTCTGAAAACTCCCCACTGAAGGGATGACTCAGGGACCTCATGACCATAGAAGATGAGTGGACAGGATGACCTTGCTCTGGCTGAGAGGGTGGCACCTGTTCCATACTTGGATGCACAGACAGCTGATTAGGTAGACCTTCGGAAAGTCGCTTCATGGGTTCGGTGTGTCTAGGGCCTGGAACGTCCGGCCGGGGAATAAAGTTCCCAGGTCGTGGATGAGAAGGTGCCTCTAGAATGTTGCCAGGAGCACTGAAGGGCAGCCGTGGCCGTCCATCCGGGGCCCTGTGCCGCAGCTCGATGAATGCTTGGCCAAGTATGTGATGCTGCGGGACGGGCAGACCCGGTGGTGGGAAATGCTGAGGCAGACCAACTGGATTACTCATTGGTGAGTTATTTAAAGGCCTGGGCATATCTACAGACATTGGTCTTCTCGGCTGTGGAGGAATTCCAGATCCTTGTATTTGCTGAGGAGGCACAAGGAAGCGTTCCTGACTTGACAGGGTACCATGATTACCTCCTGGAAACCCAAATCTAAAAGAAAAAAGAGCAAATAGTAAACACTAAGTATTACATTAAATTTAGAGTTAAGTCGAGGAAAGAAAATGTTTTAGATTAAACTCAGATACAAATGTTGCCAAATACTGTGACTTAGGAAAGACAAAATTATCATGATTAAAAAGCACTCATAAAGCATCCATATGCACATAAGTTTTTGCTAAGTGAACCCAAAATGAACACTGAATCTGAGTCCATTGCTTTTTTCTGCGTTTAGGGAGCTCTACGGGGGACACTGGGGATGTGGGTGGGTGCTTGAATGAAGGTAGGAGATCTCAAGAATTGAATTGTACTTGAGAGACTTACAGGCCTCTGTACATAGAAGACAAAGGCAGAAGCCTGGCAACTGGGTGTAACCTATTTTCGTGAAAGGAATGAAGACAGGAGGCAGAAACAGGCATCATCTCTCAAGATTTAACAAATGAGTTAATTATTTATACTGTACCTCATTCTAGAGAGAAGGAAAGGCAGTTTACAAGTAAATATGAAATAGAACAGGCATACATTAAATTGAGGAAGAAACATGGAAAATAAGGATAAGACTGTAACATGGGGGTAGGTGTTAGACTAAAAAACATGTCTAATAAAACTAAAAGAGTCATCTTAAAGATCTCACTCCTCAGTATACCTTGACGTACCGGTATGTTTGGCTTGGAACTTTCTACTAGCCACTTCAAAAACAAACAAAAATCCCACTGACTTTATAATCTTATCTCACCATGAAAAGTTCCAGAAGGAGAACATCCGTTTCATATGGAAATCTCCACTAATATTCACAATGTAAACTAAAATAAAAAATTGGGGGAGAGGAGAAACCTCACTCATCATGTCACAGGAGGCTCTGACTGAATATGGTGGTTACATTTTAGAGATTTGAGGGTGTCATAAAACTACATCCTATGGCTATAATATAGCCATGGTAACTCTAACACAGTCAATACTTTAAAATAAAGGGCTATTTAATTCTTCATTAAAAGTTTAAAAACTCCAGTGGATCAAAAAAATTAATTTGCAAGGAAGTCCAATTGCAAAACCAGTGAGGTTTGGGGTGGGGGTCGGGAAAAAACACATTCGCCTGTCCTGACAAGCCCGTTTCCTGAGGGTGCCCGAAGTCTACATATAGTTCTAAAGCCTCTAAGTAAAGCACACAATACTCTGTGTTGAAAAACTTCTCTAAAGTTCACGTTTTAAATTAATTTATTTATTTTGTTAACCCTCAACTTAGGATATTTTTCCCATTGATTTTTAGTGTGGGAGGGGGAAAGACAGAGAAACATCCACATGAGACACACATTGATTGGTTGCCTCCCACACAAGGGGGACTGAGCCTGCAACCAAGATACTGGCCATGGAAGGAATCGAACCTGGGACCCTTCAGTCTGTGGGCCAATGCTCTAACCACTGAAACAAACTGGCTAGGGCTATGGTTTATTTTTATTTCTATATAATTCATTCTAGTCCTTCCTGACCTCAAGATTCCAGAAATCTGAACTATTTTCAAATAAAGATCTTCTTTCTAAAGGTAACAAGAGGCCGAAACCGGTTTGGCTCAGTGGATAGAGCGTTGGCCTGCAGACTGAAAGGTCCCAGGTTCTATTTCGGTCAAGGGCATGTACCTGGGTTGCAGGCACATCCCCAGTAGGAGATGTGCAGGAGGCAGCTAATCGATGTTTCTCTCTCATCGATATTTTAACTCTCTATCTCTCTCCCTTCCTCTCTGTAAAAAATCAATAAAATATATTTAAAAATAAAAATAAAAAAATAAAGGTAACAAGAGAAAATGAATTTTAAAAAAAACAAAGTTTAAATGAAAGTGGCATTTTTGGGGTATTTTTCTATCATAAAAAATTAACCAATGTAAAAAATCCAAGCAAGCCCTGGCAGGTGTGGCTCTGCTGATTGAGCATCGTCCTGTGCACCAGAAGGTTACGGGTTCAATCCCTGGTCAGGGCACATGACCAGGTTGCGGTACAATCCCTGGTCAGGGTGTGTACAGGAGGCAACTGATGGATGTTACTCTCACAGTGATGTTTTTTTCTCTCTCTCCCTTCCTCTCTCTCTCTCAAATCAGTGAAAACTTGTGTTTTTAAAAACCCAAGCAATATAAAAATATAAGGTACATTTTCCCAATAATCACTATCAACTTGTTGGGTATCATTCAAGATATTTATCTATGCAATTATGTAGTTTTATACAAATGAAATTATGTTGCATACAGTCTATTTTTCCACCCAATAAATCATAAATATCTTCTCAATTATTAAAGCACATTTTAATAGCTGTCTTATATTCTACAACACAGATATACCATAATATATTTTACCTTTTTTTTTTCTGAGCCTTGTATGCTCAACCTCTAAAGTGAGGGTAACTGAACCTTTGTAAAGGTTTTATAAAACACCTGAAATGCACAGAATAGTGCTTCACACTAAGTAGTAAAGTTAGCTATTGCTATTACTTACTACTATTAAAGGTAGATACTTTCTCTACCTTTTTTGCTATTTATAACCAATGGCTAAAAGAATGACCTTGTATAGATTTCCTTGGACACCTGCACCATTGTGTCTGTAAATTTCTAAGTGAAGCCCTGACCAATTTGGCTCAGTGGCTAGAGCGTCAGCCTGTGGACTGAAGAGTCCCAGGTTCAATTCCGGTCAAGGGGATGTACCTTGGTCGCGGGCACATCCCCAGTAGGGGGTGTAAAGGAGGCAGCTGATGGATGTTTCTCTCTCATGAATGTTTCTAACTCTCTATCCCTCTCCCTTCCTCTCTGTAAAAAATCAATAAAATATTTATTTTTTAAAAAAATTAAAAAAAATTTCTAAGTGAAACTTCCTGTAAGAAAATGGTATTTTATTGCCGAACTGTCCATGGCTGAGCCAACTGATACATCCATGAAACTTTACCAGATTACCCATTTTTCCTATTATCAATCTATACTAATAAAAGGGTAATATGCTAATTAGGGCAGATGTCACCCAGACATCCATCCGGACAAAGCAGGGCCAGCGCCATGCGGGAGAGGCGGGCAGTCCGGCACAGCCGGTCCAGCACCAGGGCCCCTTTTGCAGAGGCGGCGAGAAGGCAGCTCCATGCTCCCTTCTGCAAAGGTGCCACAAGACAGGGCGCAGCGCGGCCCAGTCCCAGTGCTGCCCCTTCTGCAGAGGCAGTCTCGAGGGCCTGGTCCAGGCGCCTCACATCCATAAAGGCTGGACTGGGTGCAACCTGCTGTGCCTCAACCTCCCACAGCCCCTCCCCCAGCCTGCCTGGCCCCAGATCACCCCCCCACCCACCAGTGGGCAGGGGGCAGGGCCAGCACTAAGAAGCGAGGGCTGAGGGCCGACAGCTGCAGCAGCCAGCAGTGACAGCACCTGCGGGGAGATGGGGGCAGCGCCTTCCCTGATTAGGCGGGTCGCCTCCAGGCCGTCGCCTACCGCAGAGGAGGACATCCCCTGAGGGCTCCTGGACTGTGAGAGGGGGCAGGCCAGGTTGAGAGACTCCCTCCACACCCCCCTCCCTCCGTGCACGAATTTCTTGCACTGGGCCTCTAGTCTTTAAATATTTTCCAATCTAAAGAAAAACTCGGTTTGTTGTTTTTTTAAATCCATGACTTCTCATTAGTGGAAATAACATTAGTTATATCTCAAAGGGATATAACCAGTAAAAAGCAGTAACAACTTCTTAATTACGAGTAACTTCTAATAGCAATTTAAATCTGGCAGGAAATTAAATGCATTACCTAAATCCATGAGGTCTCATTCCCATACCAGTAACTTCAGGAGGATAGGGTCCACGCGGGTCCTTTGGGAAGACAGCATATCTAGGTCCCAGCGGAGGAACAGCAGGCGGCCTGATGCTCCCAGGATAGGGGGGTGGAGGCCTGGAGAAAGCCTGGCTGACACTCTCAGGCTGCCAGTGCTGCAGGGGACTGGGATGAGGCACAGAGGCTGCATCCTGGGAACATTTCTCCTGTCGACCTGCCATCTTCTTCTGCTGTTGCTGCTGCAGAATTATTTCACGTAACTTCTGCCGCTGAAGGAAAGAAACAAAAATCACTGGGATTTCTGGTTGCTAAGGGCTTTCTGGTAACTAATGCTTCCAATATACGACTATGGTAATGTTTAAAATATTTCTTAAATATATATATTTTTAATTTATTTCAGAGAGGAAGGGAAAGGGAGAGAGAGAAACATCAATGATGAGAATCATTGATCAGCTGCCTCCTGCATGCCCCACACTGGGGATTGAGCCCGCAACCTGGTCATGTGCCCTGACCAGGAATCGAACCGTGACCTCCTGGTTCATAGGTCCGATGCTCAACCACTGAGCCACGCCGGCCAGACAGTGTTTAAAATGTCTTAATGTGGGTAGCTCAGTTGACTGGAGCATCATTCCAGTATGTCAAGGATGTGGATTCAATCTCTGGTCAGGGAATACACAAGAAATAAACCAATGAATGCATAAACAAGTGGACCAACAAATCCATGTTTCTCTCTCTCTCTCTTTCTCTGAAATCAATCAATCATTTAAATGTCTTAATGTTTTAAAGTTTGATGAAACACTAGTTATACTCAACTATTCAATAGTCATAAAACAGATTACTTGGGGCCTTTTCCTTGCCTGACAACTATCACAAAACTTAAAAGATTTCATATATAACAATTCCCCTAAAAATTCATAAATATTGAAAATATAGTAAATCCAAATCAACTGGTGTTAATTTCACCACTTCCATTTTTCTTGTCTGCAGTACAATGAATTCTATAGAAGATAAACTTTAACATCTGTTAAAGTTTGATGAAATGAATAGCTTTCTCAAATAATGTACTTAAAACATCAAAGAACATACAATGTGTTTACCTGTCTCAATTTCTCTGTATCTGCTTGGGACATATTGATGGTGTTGTGTGTGTCAGTGACTCCCGAGGTTGGTACCGGACCAGGAAGTTGGGAGACACTGGGGAACTGCTGGCCTTGAGAATTCATGGGGGTGTTTGCAGGAGCACTGAAGTTCCCCTCAGAACCAGGCCGGGGCTGATCAGCAGCATCAGGAGCCATTTGACTTGCTCCAAAAGCATCAGCCTGAGGCCTTGGAGTCATTGGGGGCTGGTCGTAGGGGTCCCGAGCCGCAGATGGGGAGACACGGCTGAATGTGTCTGCGAGGCCAGGTCCGGGCGGCCCCGGTGCTTGGGAACAGGCTTCAGGTGTCCTCACCACAGGGCCAGGTAAGGCTGTGCCTCGATTCTGTGCTGCCTGCAGGAACACATCCTGACTTGACATGAGGACAGGTCTTGTCACTGAGGACCGAGCAAAACCCTCTGAAACCCTTGGCCTTGGTGCTGCTGGTGGCTGAGAGTAAAAAACAGAGACGCCAGGTCTTGGTGTTCCAGGAGCATGAGCATATGGGTCAGAGTGCCTCTGAGTAGTTGCAGATGTAACAAACAAGTCTGCTTGTGTAGGTGGCCTTGGGGTTGGCGGCTGCTGACTATATGGATCAATTGTTGAGGGCCGAGGAGTTCCAGGAGGCTGGGAATAAGGGTCTGGATTGGAGGGAGATGGTCCTGAGGGCTGGAAATATGGATCCTGAGATGTTGGCCTTGATATGGTTCCAGGCTGGGGAAAAGCCCTTGAGGGGTGGGCGAAAGACTCGTTCATTGCAGGACGTGGGGTGAGGGGAGGCTGGCTATATGGGTCACTCGACTGGTTATGAGAAAAGTTATCTACAGGTCGTGGTGTCAAGGCAGGCCTTTCATAAGGGTCGGCGGACAGCCGCCTTGGTGGATGTGGCACTGGCCCGTAAGGGTCCTGGGAAGGCGGAGGCAGCTGCATGGGAGCCTTAAAAGGTCCAGGACCACTATCAAGGGGTGCAGGCGTCAACGAGGGTCGTGCATATGTGTCAGGGATCCGCTGTCTTTGAAACACATCTGTCCTAGGAGATGGTTTCATGAAGTGACCATTGGTTCCAGCTGCTAGACGACTTTTTGCAGTTTGATCTGGAACTATAGGAGCCCGGGGCAGGCCCAAGGGTTTGGGAAACTGGTCTGTTGCCACAGGCCTGGGTGTGTCTGGAGGCTTTGCATAGGGGTCATTACTTGTCGAGGAGGAAGAGCAAAAATCTCGGATGGGAGATGGCCTGTTTGCTGTGCCCTCACCCATTTGAGGGGGCCTCGGTGCTGACGACAAAGATACACAGCTTTCCACCAGTGCAGAATTCCTTCTGGAAAAGCTGTGGCCCCCAGGAGGTGGTCTTGGGGTACCAACCATTTTCGCATAAGGATCCACTGGAGATGGTGGTCGGGAGTTAGAAGATCCAGGTGAGAACACCTGAGGGGAAGGCGGCTGAGAAGTCTGAGGCTGTGAAGGGCTCTCCTGGAGGGGAACCCGGGAGGGAGTGGGAGGAGGAGGAGGAGCCTGTGGCTTTACAAACACATCGTCTGCAGATGAGGAAGTTGGGGTGCTGGGGAGCTGCTTTGTAAACAGGTCTTTATGGAATGACTGTGCAGGAGACATGTTTCCAGGGCCAGGCTGGGCAGCCAGGGGGCTCTGTATCCCACTGCTGGGTGTGTCCGAGCGCGACAATGCCAGCAGAGGCTGTGAGCCAAACTGCTGCTGCTGCTGCTGCTGCTGCTGCTGCTCGCTTTTCACCTGCTCCAGCTTCTGGGTAGCCTCAATCTTCGCCTGCTGCTTACTCTTCTGGCGCATTTGCTATTGGATGGGGACAGAGAAAGCAATCATGTGGGTAAGGAAGAACATAGCTGTCATGGGGGAGAGGCTGTTGCCTTTCTCTTGAAATTAATTCTTAATTCTGTTGAGAGTTAATGTGTCTGATATCTGCAGTGCCAGGCGGCACCCACCTTATGTTCAGTCTCCTAACAGGAGACATTAGTCACCAGTCCACCTAACTCACGCCCAGGCAGCATGTCGTTATCAGCAGCTCAATCACCTTCCCAAAGCAGTTTAAATATATTTTACTGAGAAAGGAAAGTCTACTTTCAACCAAACTTTTATGTTCTAATAAAAACTATGTTCTGAGATAATGACATAAGTAGCTCTCTTTAAGCAAAAATGCAATTTTTTTTGTCTTTAAATGCAATTTTGAAAAAATCCACATACCTGTCTAAATTTCCATTCCTGTTCATGTTCCGATTCTCTTTGCTTTAACGGATCTTTAAAGAGATCCGAGTCAAGCCGAGAGCTGGGGTCGCTGCTGTCCGGCTGCTGCTGCCTCTTCAGGGAATCATTTGACATCTGCACTTTATTGATGCGCAATGCAGCTCGGTTGTCTCTAGCTTTTTGCTTTGAGAATAGATCAGAAAATCATCTGTCAGTTAATGTAAACAAATTTTAAGACATAAAAATAAAATGAACCTAGGTTGATCTTTATCATATAAAAGCAAGAAAAGGTCTAGTTAAACAGTTGAAACAGCCGTAGCCAGTTTTCTTAGTGGGTAGACCATGGGCCCACAGACTTGAAGGGTCAAGGGCATGTCCCTCGGCCGCAGGCTCAATCCCAGCCCCGGTTGGGGTGGTTGCGGGAGGCAACCAGTCAATGTGTCTCTCTCACTTTTGATGTTTCTCTCTGTCTCTCCCCCCTCCCTTCAACTCTCTCTAATTATCAATGGGAAAAATATCCTCGGGTGAGGATAAACAATAAACAAACTACCTAATTAACTAACTACATAAACAGTTGAAACATAACCCTTTAGAATTTACAGCGTTCTGGGTGGAAAGGACTGGATACCGCCCCACCTTCTCCTTTCCAGAATGGGTGTTACCACCCTTATCTGAATCAGGCTAGAGAACCCAGGCATTGTAATCTGGTGTTGTCTTAACAATGGAAGAATTCATATCTTGCTCAATTTAGAGAAAAGGAAACTATAAAATCAATCTCCAAATTTAAAATCTGGAATTTGAAGTTTAACACAAAAGAAAACCCATCTCAATGCTATCACTACCTCTGCTAGTCCAGATTAAAGCATTACCAACACATCAAAAATAATTTCTGCCCAGCTGGTGTGGTTCAGTTGTTGAGCATCGACCTATGAACCAGAAGGTCACGGTTAGATTCCCAGTCAGGGCACATGCTCGGGTCGTGGGCTTGTTCACCAGTGTGGGGCATGCAGGAGGTAGCCGATCAAGGACTCTCTCTCATAATTGATATTTCTCTCTCTCTCCCTCTCTACTCTCTGAATCAATAAAAATATATATTTAGAAACAATAATAATAATTTCTGCTCCATCCAAATTATTATTATCACTGACAATGTATGTGCTAAAGATTAAGTTGGAAATTAACTGCTTATATTTTTCGAAGCAATAATGTCGATTTAATATGCTTTAAAATGAAAGCAAGGACTAGGATCCAGCTGACAATCTCAATTTGGCTCCCTAGGAAATAACAATTCATCTCTGAACTATGACTCTTATAAATACCCTAATGACTCTGACAAAGCGCATGTTTCAAAAGCTCCTGAAAGGTGTCTGGACATGTCCCTTTCAAGTTCCAGGATGATTTTCTACTGGACCTGACCAAAAAGAGTTTATCATGGAAGAAACAATACAAGAATGCAGCCTCAAAATTTAGTACTCTTTTGAAGAGATAAAGCATGTTTAATTTAAAAATGAATTAAACACGCTCCTAAAATAACTGAGTTCAATCTTCAACATCCTGGTGCTGTTAAGTTGCTTCTAAAAATGTCAGACTTTAAAAAAAAGGAAAAAAAGAAAAATAAATATATAAATAAGTCACATGCAAGACTAAAGAGTTAGAAAATCCCTATGGAAAACAAAGCTATTTATGTGTTGCACAAGTATAAACGTTTTCCGCAATGGAAAATCATTTTAGAAACCTAAGACAGTAACAATAAGGCTCAGGGTTATGTTCAAAGATATAACAACGCAGAGGAGTTTGTCAATACCACGTATGGTGCTCTTTCCTGGGAGCTTGCTTTTCTCCACAGCTTAGCAATCTGTTTCACTCTAGTAGTCCAGTCTGCAACAAAAGAATACAGCATGTACATTTATGGAGCCCACAATAAGGACGTGTCACAATAAAAAAAGCTATGAACTCGTGACAGCTAAATGTTTTTTGGCTAGATTTTCATAATTTAAGTTCTTTGTACAGTACAAGTTCATGGCACATAGTAGGCTAAAAATTATTTTCTGAATAAAGTGCTGCCTTATTAATAATCTCACATGTAGAGTTGGGAAGTTTTTAAATCAAAAGGGCTAAGCAGCCAAGTTAAATTTAAGTCAAATATAAGAAACTCCCTCAATCCTGTAAGATGCTATCAGAACCAAAGCTACAAGTTTTGTAAAATATCTGTACTCAAGAGAAGTTTGATCAAAAGGAAGTGGGTATTAGAAATGAGCATCTCACCAGCATTTGTGCACAACAAAGACATGGAAAGTCATGATTTTAAGCTGTTTCTATGAAATTCATTGTCAGGACAGCATATAAAATGAAGTTTAGGTAAAATGAACAGTTAATGGTTAATGTAGAAACAATTTAGTCTATATTAAAAGAAATGGAGGGGAGGGGAGGGGAGGGAAGAAGGTAGGAAGAGGGAGGGAAGGAAAAAATTTCAAAAAAGGCACTGAAAGAAAATGGAAATCAGCTGACAGATCAGCAGCTTTAACCTGCTATTTTGTGAGGTTCGAGAGCAGGGGTGGGCAAACTTTTTGACACGAGGGCCACAATGGGTTCTTAAACTGGACCAGAGGGCCGGAACAAAAGCATGGATGGAGTATTTGTGTGAACTAATATAAATTCAAAGTAAACATCATTACATAAAAGGGTACGGTCTTTTTTTTTTTTAAGTTTTATTCATTTCAAACGGGCCGGATCCGGCCCGCGGGCCATAGTTTGCCCACGGCTGTTCTAGAGTCACATAGTAAAATCATTAAAGAAAATTAAACAAACTATAGCTCTGCTCTCAGGACAATTTACAATGACACAGAATGACTTGCTATAATTAGATGTGGTCATCTGTAGGCAGCAGATGAAGTGTGGTTAGATGCACATGAAGAATACATGTACTGAGTTAACAGACATCCCGGCACTGAAACTGCTGGATTACTGTTAGGGAACGTGGCATTTATTTCTTGCTCTTGCACGTAATGAATGAAGTACCACGAGGAGGGTGAACTGAAAGGACACCTGAACAGACTAGGTCATCCATTATCAAGTGCACTCGCAGGTGGGCAGCCGCTCAGGTATCTAACACAACGGTGTGCTGACAAGGAAGCTACTGCAAGACAGTGTGTGCGAGACCTTTCCAATTCTGGTTTGTCTAGCAACATGAACTCAAGACAATACCAGCATTTGCTTACAAATACTCTACAAGTTGGTTTCATTAATCCAAATGATTCATCCTCTAGTCGATCAGAATTTCCAAAAGGGTACACTGTATCATCTGCAATTTTTGTTCAAACAGACTGGACACTTGGGGGAAAGGGAATATAATACTGAGTTCATTTTGATGGAAACAAGACTCAGAATGGAGTCTGATACAGCCTAACTTTAACACTTTTTTTTTAACTGACTTAACACTTTAAAAAATTTTTTTTATTGATTTCAGAGAGAGGAAGGGAGAGTAAGAGATGGATAGAAACATCAATGATGAGAGAATCATTGATCAGCTGCTTCCTGCATGCCTCCCATTGGTAATCGAGCCCAAAACCGGGGCATGTGCCCTGACCGGGAATCGAACCACAACCTCCTGGTTCATGGGTCAATGCTCAACCACTGAGCCACACCGGCCAGGCTAACACTTGTGATTAAATGATGATATTCTGTTTCAGGAAATTTTTTGTACAGTTACACATATAACACAATGCTGACTTTATATATTTGTAGTCTCTAAGAGAGGAAAACCAGATCATTTCATTCATTAAAATTAGCTTAAGGGAACTATGCAAATGGCCACAGGGCCTAGGACTAAGAAAATGCAAGATGTTTCCACATATCTAGGAACTAGGACTATCAGGTTGTGCATAGTCATACTAGATGAAAATCAGTGATGACACATGGGCACTCTACTGTGGTAAAAAGAACAGACAAAACAAAGATTGTCTTACACATGTGGAAGTTGGTAACACAGACAGCAATCATATACCCAAACCCAAGACTTACCAGGGAACTCGTCCTTCAGGTTGGGGAAGTTAATGTTTGTGTAGAGAACTGGCGCAACAGTGGCCATCTCCCCCAGGGCCTCCTCCTTCTCCCACTTAAGTGTGCTTCTCTGAGCATTGGACATCGTATCGCCCTCCCCTTCCACAGGGGGAGCCGAGGAGGTCCAAGAGCTGTGAGGGTCACTGGCCATTGGATTAAATGCTGGATTCTTATCCCTGGTAAATAATATACAACGTTACTTCATAAACATAACTAACTTTCGAGTACAATGTCATCAAAACTTATTATAAAATAGCTTAAATGATAGTTCACAATAAATGTAACAAACATTAATATTATGCACAATAACAGAATAACATTCATAGAACAAAAATTACTTAAGTTTCCACAGGAAGTGAAGGCTTTTAAATACCTGGCATCAGTGTAAGGGGATTGTGCTATGGCAGAGAAAGTTCCCAGTGCACTTCCAGGAGGCAAAGAGGTGTGTGGGAGATGAGGACTGGGCCCAATAAGGCCGTTCATGAGTGGCATCCGTGAAAAAACATCTTAAAAGAAAATAATAATTCAGTCTGCATATTATTCATAAATAATAAAAAAGCAACAGAAATATTTCTAGATAAATACTTACATTGCTATTTAATAATAAAGTTGGATATGGGTAATTTTTGCAATATTTTCCGGTAAAATATTGCTTAAAGAATGATTGGCCATAAATTTTTGAAATGTGGTCTCTAAAATTCTGTTTACTTTGTTATTGTTTACTGGAAATAGTACATGTTTTGGAGTCTGACTGCCCTAGGCTTAAATCTTAATTCTGCTACTTGTTAGAAGTAGAATCAATCACTCTTTCTGTAAATGGAGGTATTCTGTGATTGACACAACGTACGGCCATTCTCAGCACTAATGCACAGTGACTGCTCAGTACATATCAGCACTACAAAAAGAATAAATCTAGAACTTTTATCAGATACTCTTCCTCTTCTTCATTCAAAATTAACAAATAGAGATTCTTCTAATTTACTTATTCCCATTAATACAAAAAACCATCTATGATTCTTAAATTGGCACTCTCTCTAAAACAGTTTAGAACAACAAGCAGTATTTATTTCACCTCCCATCATCGATTAGATCATTACTACTAAAACTATATTCATTCTGGTTTTGGCCTAATTTTCATTACTTGTGGTTTCAGCTCTCAAATGCATTTTAGCTCTTATTCCCTCTTATTCACACGCTTCCAATACCTTATCACCTTTTTCCTATATAGACATTACGCAAACCTTGTTTCCCCTATAACTCTCCTTAGCATGCGGCTCCAACCCTACTTGTGACCTACTGTCCTTATCTGAGCAGTTTTCTAGCAAAAAAAACAATAAAAATAAAAAAAATACAAAAAAACCTCCCTATTCAGAGTCATACTCTAAAGTAACAACTACATGACCTCTGTTGTCACAGCACTCAGAACACACTGGGAGACCCTCCCTCACAGTTAATTCTACAACTAGAATACAGCTCCCATGTAAACACTTGGCATACTTGGTGTAATGACAGAGAACCCCAACCTGATGACTTGGTCATACCATTAAAAGAAAAAATAGCCCAGCACACTGTCTTGTGTGATGTGCTTTCACATGAACTATGTCTAAAGCACACAGAGCTCCCATTCCTACCTGAGGATTCTGAGGCTGATCGCTGGCAGGTTATAGGATTTTTGTCTCAAGGACTTCTAGATTAGGGCTTATCCTACTAAATTGCACAGCAGGGCCCACTGGATCAGGCCCCCACAATGACAAGGTTCTTGAGAGACTTAAGTTCACACCAAGATTAGTTTAAAGAGTGAGATTTAATTCAAAGTAGAATGCTAGTTTTCTTTTCTTTTCTTTCTTTTTTAAAAAATCTTCACCGGAGGATATTTTTCCACCAATTTTTAGGGAGAGTGGAAGAGAGGGAAAGATGAAGAGAATCATCGACATGAGACAGACACATTGACTGGTTGCCTCCTGCATGTGCCCTACCAGAGACTGAGCTTGGGCCTGGGCCAGAGGAGGAGCCTACAACGGAGGTATGTGCCCTTGACAGAAATCGAATCTGGAACCCTTATCCACTGAGCTAAATCGGCTAGGGCTAACTCTATTTTCAACTTCAGCAAAAAGCAAGCTCCATTATGTAATTAGGATAAACAAAGGCATTGTTATTGGAAATGAGAATGTGATCCATCCCCTAGCTACCTGTCAGCACGGACAACGGGAACCACGAGCACATGAACCCTTTCGAGATAAAGGCAGCTATCTCTATATATAAAAAGCTAGTGACCAAAACGACATAATGACTGGAATGACCGGTCGCTATGACGCCCACTGCTGTCAGCGAATCGGCCAAATCTGGGGTGGAGTCAACCTGCTAACCTCCCGTGGCCCCTCCCCTCAGCTGGCCCAGCCCCTTATCAGCCTCTCCCACCCAGATCGAGGGCG